TAAGAGGGTCATTAGTTGCGCAATCGACAAGCCGTGCATTTTTATTTTCTTTTAATGCTCTACGAGCAACTCGAGAATGGTTCGCATTGCGGAGTCATTGGACACGTTGGTATAAAGTGAACTAACATCGAATGACTCCATTATATGCGTGCTGTTTGGTTGCGCGCGCCCTAAGTGATCTAGAAATATTTTGGTGTTAGGTAGATAGGTTGGGATGAATTTTAGCAGTTGGCTTAGGATAAGGTGTAGGAACCACGTTATTCTATCCGCTGGCCCGCCTATACAACTGATGATAGGTCTAACTCTATATGATGATGGGTTCATTGACGTAATATCATCAGTTGAAGTAAGCTTATGTGTTTTAATAAGCAAGTAAAGGATAGGGCAAATCGGGTGTTCGTTCTTAAGTCAAGAAATAACTGATGGCTCTAAACCCGCGGCCTTTGCCGTGCTGACCCATTCTTGATTCAATTTTCGGTATTGATTTCTGTATTCCTTTTCAGATGATGTTCGATAGAGAGAAACATCACTGAGGTGCTCCTCTGTTATCCTAATATCCAACTGACTAGGAAGAACTGCAAATTCTCCTCCTTTATCACTAATAGAAAGTCTAATAGATTTTGAATTCAAAAACTCTCTAACCTGGCGCATACCTCTTTTCTGTTGGTTTGTGAGGTTGGAGCTTCTTTCTTGTTTTTGGTAATGATTAAGTATGCGGAGAATTTCGTTCGAAAATAAACGAAACGTAGGGTCAATATCGCTATTTGGTAGCTCTTGTTTAAAGAAAGTTCGGGGAAAGGGTATTGGTGGTAGTTCCCCCTTGATACTACTTTACCTAACCTTTCTAGCCTAACCCTGTAACGTAGCTGATCTTGAAGTTCATGCAGACTACACGTGATCCTGCGCAGGATTGGTTTAGAAATGGGTTGACTAGGTGCAAAACTGGTACCCAATTCTAACAAGGAACGAACATTTTCCGGAAGCGTTATACCTCCTAGCACAGTAACTCTGGATGTTCTTGGTGCGCAGTCTATTTCAGGGCTTTTACTTGGAACTTGACCAGCGGTGGTCCTTTCATTTGACCTTTTTGAGCGGCGTGTTAGATCTTCAAACGTTTTCCTTAACTTGCTGTTAATATCACACCGAATCTTTCCGCATATCGATTTAGACCCAGCTACTATTCTCTTCCAAAGAAGATAAGTGGCTATGTAACAAAATGGTATCGCAAGCCAAGTAGTAAAAACATTTTAATTCACTGCCTCTCCTCTCATCCTTCACACATGAAAAAAGCACTTATCAAAAATATGTATCGTACGGCTAAAAATATGTGTACAGGAGAAGGAAGGAATCGCGAAACCTGGCTCGAAAAATTGCCATTTCCAATGGCTACGAAGTAGAAGCCACTCGGGTTAGAGGAAAACGTTGGGTAGTTTCCCAAATAATATTTCAGACGAAAGTAGGATCCCCTTTAAGCTGCCCTTCATATCAAATGAAGTAAGTCACGCCATTAAAAAGTGCTTAAGAAAAAGTGGTCTTGAAAATTATGTAACGATTGTTGACATCCCACCCAATACCCTACGCCGCCTGTTAGTTCAAAACCGTCTCTATGATCGTTTGTGCAGCTCAGAAAACTGTATGATCTGTCCCAACGGGAGAGACGGGGATTGCATTATGAGTTTAGGTATAATATACTTGATCTCATGTAATGCATGCGGCGAGGGATATATCGGAGAAACGGGTAGACCACTTTGTGTCCGCATAAAAGAACATCTAGATGGAAGAGCTGAAATCCGTTTAAACACCCCTCTAGGTACGCATAGGGCACAAAAGCACAACGGCGATGATTTTGAAGTGAATGTGCGGATCCTAGCGCAGGAATCAAAAACATCAACGCGCAAAACTCTTGAGACGTTTTGTATAAATTTCAAAAATCCAAAGATGAACCGGAAGGACGAATGCCTCACTCACGCGTGACCTGGCGCCCTATTTCAAAATGATATTTTGACCTCTGGGTGTGTCCTGCTGGCGACTCCGCGTGAACTACGTGTGGGCCAGTCCCGCACGTAACATCACGGTGAGTGGCCTTTCTGTTCAATATAGCGTCTATTTGAAAGCTTGATCTTCATTAATACTTTAACCTTCTTTTCCACCGAATAATAAAAGTATTCTAACATAAAGTACGTCCAGGCTCTGAGGAAGGCGAAGTCGCCGAAACGTCAGCCATCGATGAATAACATCAAAAAAAAAACAACGACAACGACAACGAAGATCTGTACCAAGCTCGCGTCAGCTTAAGATCAGTTTTTTTAATAAATAAATCATCTATATAACTAAAGTAGAGTAACGGCCTGAGATCGATTACTGGTGCTTCCACTTTAGACATAAAGGCAACGGCAAGAGTTGGTGCCAATCGCTGTCCTATTGCCAACCCTTTAATTTGCGCATAATATCTCCTAGACCATCTGAAGATCGAGCAGTTTAAGCAGACCTTTAGGAAGACCATAAGCTGCTGAATCGAAAAGCCATACATGTTAATTGCTCCTTTGCGTTGCTCAAGAAGCTCGCGGATGGCTTGCATTGCGGAGTCGTTCGACACGTTAGTGTAAAGGGCGGTAACGTCGAACGACTCCATACCGTACGCTCTGTTGGGGCGTGCGTTACGCAGACGGTCTAGGAACATTTGGTTGTTCGTGAGATGGACTGGTATGTGCTTAAGCAACTGGTGGAGGATTAAATTTGTAAACCAAGCAGTTCTATCCGTAGGCCCGTCTACACAACTAATGATAGGTTTAAATCAACGGATATTAACTTATGGGTCTTGATAAGTAAGTATAAGACGGAACGTGTCGGCAATTCGATCTTAAGATGCGAAATGTTTGTTGGTTTTAAGCCTGCTGCGCTTGCCATTTTGACCCATTCGTTGTTTAGTTTTCAATTTTGACTTCTGAATTCCTTTTCAGTTGATGCGCGATAAAGAGATGCGTCTTCAAGATGTTTTTCCGTTATACCGGCATCTAACTGGCGAGGAATTATTACAAACTCTTCACCTTTATCACTTACTGATAGCCTAATAGTCTTTGATTTTATTAGCTCTCGAACCTGTCGCATATCAGATTTTTGCGCAGCTGTAAGGTTCGAACTAAACTTTTTCGCGCGGTAGTGGTGGCTAAGGACTTTGAGAGTTTCGCTCGGAAATATACGAAATTTTATATCGATTTCGTCGTTTGGCTCATGCTGTCTAAAGAATAACCGAGGAAATGGAGGTGGTGGTAGTGCCCCGACTTCTCGTTGTTTCTTTTTATTTCGTGGCTCAATTCTAGCGTTGCTTCGGAGTCGATCTTGGAGCTCGTGCAGGCTACACGCAATCCTACGCAAGCTTTCCTTAGAAATGGGTTGCGCTGGTGAGAAACTTGGACCCAATTCTAATAGCGAGCGCGCGTCATCAAGCAGAGTTATGCCTCCTAACGCGGTGGCTCTTTACTTTTCAGGCACGTTATCGACCACATTTTTTGTGGTAGCGCTTTCGTAAACGATTTTGTTTTGTTCAATTGAAGCTGGGTTTTGCGAATGATCTAGTAAATTTCGGAACTTTCTGCTTAAGGTTACTTTATCATTTGACCTCATAGAATCGCAAATCAAAATTGACCTACCCACTATTCTCCTCCGAAGGGAATCCTCCAAATACTGAACACAGTAAGATTCCTTCGACTTGCACTTCTTCAGTTGCCCGTACATGGTGTCCCGTTTGCATCGAAGTGAGGCGCGTAGTAGTCGTGTTTCGATGTCCAGTACTAGTTGGCTGTCCATCGGTAGGCCGCATTATCCATTGTGTAGTTCTTTTCGTTTGTTGAAGTTCGGCACGACTCGGTGTTTCAGGCAGCGGCGGAAAAAGAGTATCGTTTGTCTAGCTAAGACAATTTTTGTCTTAGTGACAGGACTTCCTTTACGAGTCGGAAATATTCTGCTGGGACTTCACGTAGCAATTCCCATGACCGACTTTCTTTTAACGTCGGCATTGATTGATAATTCGATGTTTTTCTTCAATAAGCAGACACGAGGTTGTTATTATAGAAATGTTATTAAGGAGGTATCACCTTCTTCAAAACCATGTTGCTCACAGCCCAGTATCCAAGGTAGTTGCTTCTCTCTGCGATATGGGTATTGAAGTCGTCGTCGCATCGAGTCGAATCGAGCGAATTGGAGCACCGAAAGAATGGAGTAGTTTCACCCAGCGCTACCCTTCGTTTCTTCTCCTAGAAGTGACTGACTTGATAGTTCGTTAGGTTTCTACATCTTTTTTTTATATAGGTCGGAGATGCATTTAGTCATGTTACGATACGAATGGTGTCAAATGCACGGCGCTTCCTTGAAGGGCAGATCAGTGGAGATAGACCCTCCTTTTTTAGCCTTCAATAAAATGACGAAATGTTAACCAAACAGGTTATAAAATTGTATTTTACAATTAAAAGAATTTTATTGAGAGACACTGTCCTCTTACCTGGAACTACGGTTCGTTTCCTTTTCAGACAGGCTGAAGCGAATTTTTGAATCCTACACCAGTTAAACAGAAAAAATTCTACTTCAGTTTTTGCAATGAAATCATCTTCATTCAGCTCATAAAGTGAGACTATTGTCATCGTAAAGATTGAAATGATCACCACTTCATCATCGCCATAGCCCAACCCACTACGCTGTATGTGGCGGAAACGGCTGCACACATTAATGAGGCACGAGGCCATGATGTGCTAATAAATGCCCAGCACAACATTGGTTCCTAAAACTTCTTTGTGGCGACTTGAGTGTTGAAATTGAGGAATGTCGCAGGTGTCGTTCTGCTGCTGACGATGATGAATCGAATACTGGTAGAAACAGACACACAAGATATGTTCATGAACTTGCAGAAGAACTTAGTGTAAGTGTTTCCATTGATTTGGAGCGTTTGAAGAAAGTTGGAAAGTCGAGGAATCTCAACAAGTAGATGTCGTAGGAACTAAATGACAATCAGAAATCTTCAATCGTCGAGTCCTCAATTACAGCAAGCTATATTTGTGTTATATTTAAGAGGTAGTAGTCGCGATTTCGACCAAATCAAAAGTACGTCGACTTCAAGGACTTAGTCAAATTATTATAGGACTCTACACCTACAACCTAAATCATATAATTTCAACGCATGACAAATTGTGGGAATTTTTCTAATGAGGAATCTCTACGTCCACTCGAACTCTGTCCAAAATCCAAGCCTGCTACCGCTTGGAATGCTCCCAAAATAACACACTGTATTCCATTAAAAAAGGATAAAAGGTAAAGTTTCGTCGTTGATCAATCCATGAAAGATGCGCCATGCGTTCGACTTCAGTAAGCATCGTTGTAGGTGATTGAATGCATATTTGGCCTCCACAATGACTCCCGGAGGCCTACCGATGTACTGCTATCCTCCCAGACAAGTCTGGTACCAACCAACTCGAAGAGAATGGAGGGATCGGCGGTCCTGAGGCGCCGGGATCGATCCCGCGTAGTGCAGGACGCCTCCAACCACTGCGCCACTCGTGCCCTTTCTGGCTCTTGATACCAGGACATAATTTCGTAATAAATCACATAAATCTATACTATGGACATTTTTTGATAGCTCGGCAATGTCCTCTACGACATCTTTGTAACCACTAGCACATCTTTTACACTTTTTTAATTTGGAAAAAGGATACCCAGCTAGCCACTAGGAATGGAGACACTAAGCACCTAATCCGTAATATTGGCTTTTGGGTGAAAACCTATAAGCAATTCGACTAACTCAAATCTAGATGTATAATCAATAGGTTAACTTGTGCTTGAATCCTATATATTTCCGATCCATCCTGTAGACAAATACAAATAGCCACCTGTTTACCTACCATCATCTTCGTGGTCATAGCAGTTTTGCAGCAACCACAACGATGCTGAGGCATTCGCAAAACTTCGATCCTAGGCCAGATCGGAGCACGATTAACCTTTTCCGGGAACCCGTATGTTACCCACTGCACCACTGGATCCTTTGCTTTGTCTTTCTTTCATAGGATATGATTAATACGAAGAGGCTGTTTGTTCCATAAGGACTTGACAATCAAGGAATCACCTGATCGGTGAGAAACATAGACAAAAAAAATTACTGAAGAGTGTGTTAACAAAACAAGACAAAATATTGCATATTCACTCTCACATTAACGAAAGGTACGACCATTAATTTTATTTAATTTCATTAGAAACTTCAACATACCCATATTTCAATCTAAACAATCTCAATGTTGTGCTTAGTCACCCTCAATAAATTTGAAAGGAAAACCAAACAAGTTGAAAAGACGGATGAAAGAAATGTAGAAATGATTCGTAGAAAGAAAGAAGTAGAAAAAGATGAAACGATCCACCATAAATCAACAACCAATAGGAAAACTGTAACGAAAAACATCAATGATGTACGAAAAAGGAAGGAAAAATGTTCCGCCTTCTCCAATCTGTTCTAAAATCCTAGAAATATTGTTATCATTCTACCAACTGAAAAACAACGACAATACTGCTAAAATGCTTCCGGTTAATAACCTTAATGTAAGTCATCACATACTACGTAATGGAGGGAAAGAAAGAAGTGATCACGCAAAAGATGAAGCGATCCTTTCATCAACGCTTGATTGATGTCTTCATGCTTCCTTAACTATTTATCCTTCCATTGAGCGACCGGCACAAAACCATCGTCGCCAGTTTCACCACCTTAAATTGCAACATTCCCGATAGGGTGGTGTCGGCTGAGTATCATGAGGACCTGAAACCTTATTCAATATTCTTTACATTTTTGCTGAATAAACACGAGGTGTTATTCTATTCCTTTATTCACGAACATGCTGACGTCTCGGCTAACCTTGCCTACCTCAGAGTCTAGAAAGGTTAACTTGACCGCAATCTACCTAGCCAAACACAACCATAAAGCTCTAAAAAAGCTTTACGGATAAAGCTCTCGGCGTTGATCAATCCCTGAGGGATGCGTCATGCATTCGACTTTATTAAGCATCGTTTGGAGGTAATCGAACGCATATCTATCCTTTGCGATGACTCGCGGTGGCCTACCGATATGTCGAGCCAGTGCTGCTATACTCTCAGACAAGTTTGGTACCAATTTGCCGACCCCCGGGGTGACACAAGGCTTGGTGGGCCATAGGCGCGGGGATCGATTTCACGTGTGTTGCAAGGCCGCTCTGACCACTGTCCTTCAAACACATCCCTAACCAAAATAATTCACCCAACTATAACACTTTCATTTATTCGTTATGGTACTCTAATATTCAAACACTAAGTCAAAATACAACCACAACGTTGCTGAGATATTTGCAAAACTCTGGACCGCAGGTGTCTATGGTGGGGAACGAACGCGCTATTATCCTTTCCGGGGAGTAACGTGTTCTGACGGGTGATTGCTGTGGCAAAAAGATCGATAGAAATAGCTGAGAGACTTGCGAAACAAAAGACCCGCATGGTGTGGTGGTGAACGCGTTACTCCCCAGAAAGGATAATAGCGCGTTCGTTCCCCACCATAGACACCTGCGGTCCAGAGTTTTGCAAATATCTCAGCAACGTTGTGGTTGTATTTCGCTTAGTAACCTGCCATGAAAATTATAGAAGGCAGAAAACAAAACGTTAAACATTGTGATTTCAACTACAGCCATAGCTTAACTGGGTTCTATGCCGATTTGCGCTCCCCAGATCAACCCCGCTGACGGGTGATTGCTGTGGCAAAAAGATCGATAGAAATAGCTGAGAGACGTGCGAAACAAAGGACCCGCATGGTGTGGTGGTGAACGCGTTACTCCCCGGATAGGACAATAACGCATTCGTCCCCCACCATAGACACCTGCGGTCCAGAGTTTTGCAAATATCTCAGCAACGTTGTGGTTGTATTTCGCTTAATAACCTGCCATGAAAATTATAGAAGGCAAAAAACAAAACGTTAAACTAAGTCGAAAGTTCCGATCGAATAGTTGTATGTGAACACAAAACTCACTACATCCGTTCTCCATCGTTAATACTAAGTCACGCAAATCTTCAGCGTTTTGCGAAATTTTATCGCTGTGAAAACAAACACCGTCCTCTTTTCCTTGTCTACCTCGATGTTGGTAGTAAAGTGCGTAAGCTTGACGTTGAGCTGCCAAATCTATAAGAATCCGATTCTACAGTTCTGAGACACAACTTTGTTGCTGTTATATTTAAACGTTTTAAGAAGGCATGTATGCCATTCTAACTTAGTCATATAGCAAGATAATTACAGAACACATAATTTGGTGGACGACAACTGTGAAAGAAGGAAGCATGAGAATTCTCATGAACAACTTTGTCTTAAGCTCGAAATCGGTCAATAAGTTACCGTCTTCCCCTTGAGTAGACATGAAACCAAACATTAGCCAGCCAATTTTCTTCATTTACAGTGACCGGATCTCGACTTTCTGAGTCAACGAAATTTTTGCTAATATCTCAGCTTCATTTTGGTTGGATTTCATATAGTACCCTGCCATGAGAAATTGTAATAGGCAGTAAATAAGGAAGAAACAAAGAATTAACACTATATTTATGCATGGTTATTAAGAAACCACTATCGCCCACTATTTGTTAAGCCTTCTTCAGTATTTAGTTTTTCTTCAAAAATTTATCTGCTCAACTAAAGAGTCAAACGTAAAGAATCACTATGACCTCGGCACAATTTCTATCACATGGAATTTTGCTTGGGAGATTCTTTCAGTTTTGCCCAAATCTGTTTTGGTGAAAAAAGTCACCGCTCACCTGACTTACGCTCTGACTGTTTTTGCTGTAAACGGTGGAGATTTTGTGGCCCAAACAGTCGGAAGAACTAAACACCGGCTTAGAAATATACACTTTATGGAGTATAAAAAGACAATTTGTGGTACATCTGAGCCTACAAGAAGTAAATCAACCTCAGACATCTTAGAAAACTGTCATCCTAATGTAAGAAAAAAAGAGACAATTCATACGGAGAGAAGCTTAAGAAGTAAATAGGCTCCTGCGTGTTATGACTATAGGAATCGCAAGCTAAATGTGACGTTTCCGAATTAATACGACTAAAAGAGGACTAGCTGCTTCTGATATTCTACATTGTATACATTTTACACCTTAGAACAAACTGGATCTTCTGCTTGCCCTGAGATGTGAGGATTACGTAACACTTCGCCATTTGACATGTTAAACAACTATATGGGCAAAATATCTTTATTTTAACATCTTTATTGCTCTCATGAAGATTTTAAAAGATTATTCAGCTCTCAATAAAAGGAGAACTAATTCCACAGCAAATGGTGAATGTCTTAAGAATGAGGAAGTACTGCAAAACAAAGTGATAGAGTAAGAAAATTTTACGATAAAGAAAAACTCACCCTAAGCCAGAAAAGGACCGTGCACAACTTATTCCGGACTTCGATTTGGCCACATGGGCTTTCCAACAACTGAAAATGATTTTATCTAGCTCTAAGATTTTCAGTTTTCAGTTTTAGATAATATGAGCAATTTACATCAGCCTTAAAAAGCCTGCTTATCCAAAAAACAACGCAGATCAGAACTGCGTACCAAGCTCATTAAGTGAGACTCCCAAATACCACCTATTTAGTAACTACCACAAATAATGACAATAAAATGGTGATGAATTTTGTATTATCATATGTTGTACTCCAGTAATAAATTTGTGGACCCCGAGCGCCTAACAGCCGACAATCCAGTGTCAACTGCCGCGCAACAGCTATTAGATTAACGATCCCGGTACACAAGCTGATATCTGGCAACGACTCGTACAACAACAATCAACTCTGCTTGTTCTATTTGAAAAAGGGTTCTACATTTGATAGCAAAAAGGAGTTCGATGACATTTATCTACAGAAAGGACAAATTGGTGGTAATGACAAGCTTAAAAAACTTGAGCACAAAGTCTGCTATTGGTCAGTACCTTAAAGATGCGCACACCATTCCACTCTTATGCATCAAAGAGATGACGGAATACATAAGCATATACAATGACTTCCTAGGATCTACCAATATATCAATACCTGTAAACATGGAGGGTAGATTCACCCGCTACGCAGAATCCATTCACCAAACGATTTAGTGTCTTGCAAAGCGCCTCTAACCACTGCGCTACACGTACCAATATATATATATATATATATATATATATATATATAATATATATATGCATATATATAGGGCGCCTATAGCGCAGTGGTCGGATTCTCCCTGTAATACACATGGGATCGATCTTAGCCCCCAAAGCTCACCAAGTCTTCTATCACTCCGGAGATGGCAAATTGGTACCAGGATTGTCTAACAGGATAGCGTCACTGACTAGATACAACATTAGGCCACCACGAGACACTGCATAGGCTAGATATGCATTCAATCACCTCTAGCGATGCTTAATGAAGTCTAACGCATGGTGCATCCCTCAAAGATTGATCAACCCAGACAGCTTTATCCTTTTATCCTTTACATATGTATATATATGTGCATATATATTTATATGTAATATACACATACATATATATGTACATGTGTACATATACATACATACTGTACTATCTATAAAGGAAATTTTGGAAGACAAGTAGAAGAACAAAACCTTGGATAAATGGACATCTTGCAGTGTTAGACCACACATACCTTTAGAATATCACGCTCAACAGGCAGTGTTATATTTTGGCGTGTTTTCACGCCTTCCTGTTCAGTTACCTCTGTCAAACCACCTCTTGGAAAGCCATTCAATTCCTGAAAGATTAGGAACTCTTAAATCTTAACCCTTAATAAGTAAAGTTTTCTCTCCGTCTTGTGCTCATCGACTGTCATGTGAAACACACATAATCAGGATGACAAGTATAAAAGCAGTCACTTTAATTAAAACATGGATTAACACAACTAAGTAACTTAGAGGCTGATCTCCACCAATGTGGACTGAGCAGACAGACATAATGTTAAACAATTAGAAAAGCCGCCACGTATTGTAGTTGCCCTGACCATAACGTGGAAAAACGGGATATGCTTCAACACCACAAACAAGTGTAATAAACCCAGGTGATCAAGACAAAATTCTGCCAGTTACTCGTGCCTCTTCTCTCCACTAAGAAAATATGATAGATATTGCCCTAACACGAACTCATCCTATTTGTGTCCTCCTAGCAAAGAAAAAGTGCTGGTCGGGTCTGCAGTACAATAAAGATGAATGAAATGTCTACTGGTGTTCATGTTCGCAACGATGTCAACATATTTTCACTCGGCAGGAACGGTGCTGATGTCGCAACCTTTTTGGCGAATAAGCATGGTAACCACATCTTATTTTCCCTCTTAAAAACGATTACGATTAGGAATATTGATGTTTTTTTCAGCTTGGTTACGCCCCTAATAAAAAACTCTGCTGCACATCCCAGTTCAACACCCAGGAGAACACCCACTTATGATGGAGCATCGAACCGTTTAAAGGCATTTGAAGCATTTATGTAGGTGATAGAGATAAATGTACACCGAATGATTTATCTACCATACCCATCTGTGTGAAAGCAAGGAGAACGAGTGGTTCCTTTCATACTCGGCACGTTCATAAAAATCACATTCTTCCTCTGAAGAAGAGTCAGAATCGGCGTCGTTTTGTGAGGTAGATGGTAAATAGCACTTCTCCTCGCGCTAAAATCAAACGGAGTTTATACGAATTCCAACAAGAAGGTTGGAACGACAAAAATACTCAGGAACTACTTTTTTAAAGAAACTTTATTCTCCTTAACTTTCAATAATTAAGAATTACGGAGAATAAAACTAAATTTTCAAGTCTCTACAGCACAAGGCGCTTGTAGTGCAGTGGTCGGAGTCACCCTGCAATACACATGGGACCGATCCCCGCGCCAAGGACTCACCAAACTTTCCGTCTCTCCGGGATCGGAAGATTGGTACCGGACTTATCCGGGAGGATAGTAGCACTGGATCGATACATCGGTAGGTCACCACGAGTCATTGTAAAGGCCAGATATGCATCCAATCACCTCCAAGCGATGCTTAATGAAGTCGAATGCATGGCTCATCTCTCTGGGATTGATCAACGCCAGGGGCTTTATTCTTTTTTAAATTTCCAGATCGACTTTGCATTAACTTCGGAATGTTCGCAGAACAGATTACAGGTTGTTAAAACAAAACTTTCTTGTATTTATTTATATGATCTTATAAACTGATCTTTTTTAGCTAATACGAGGTTGTTATAGGTCTTCGTTGCCGTTGTTGTTATTGTTGTTGTTCTTGTTCTTGTTGATCGATGGCTGACGTTTCGGCTATTTCGCCTTCCACACAGCCTGGACGTATTTTATATAAGAATACTTTAATTTTTTGGTAGAAAAAAGGCTAAAGTATTAATGAAGATCAAACTTTTAAATAGACACCACACTGAATAGAAAGGCCACTCACCGTGATGTAACGAGTGGGACTGGCCTACACGTTTTCCACGTGGTTTCGCAAGCGAGGCACACGCAGGGGTCAAAGTATCATTTTGAAATAAGGCGCCATGACACGTGTGATAGCGAGGCATTCGCCTTTCCCGTTCATCTTTGGATTTTTGAAATTTATACAAAACGCCTCAAGAGTTTTGCCCACTGATATTTTCGATTCCTGCGCTAGGATCCGCACAGTCACTTCAAAATCATCGCCATTGTGCTTTTGTGCCCTATGCGTACCTAGAGGAGAGTGAAACTCTTGAGGCGTTTTCGATAAATTTCAAAAATCCAAAGATGAACTGGAAAGACGAATGCCTCACTATCACACGTAACCTGGCCCCCTATTTAAAAAGATATTTTGACTCCTGGGTGTGTCTCGCTCGCGACCTCACGTCTCCAACGCGTGGGCCAGTCCCACTCGTAATATCACGGTGAGTAGCCTTTCTGTTCAATATGGCGTCTATTTAAAAGCCTGATCTTCATTAATACTTTAGCCTCTTTTTCCACCGAACAGTTAAAGTATTCTTACATAAAATATGTCCACGCTCTGAGGAAGGCGAAATCGACTAAACGTCAGCCATCGACCAACAACACCAATAACAACGACAACGGCAACGAAGACCTATACCAACCTCGCATCAGCTTAAGAAGATCAGTTTATAAGATCACATAAATAAATATATCAACTATCTATGCCGAGGTTTATAGAAAGTCGGTCTTTTAAGTTATTAAAAAACTTTTTTATCCGCAGTGCATAATTCACTGCGACAGTGCTAAAAACGACTAAGGTTGAAAACACTTGGAAGTTAAAGATCGAAGCCAATGCAAAGGACGCAATAGTACCCTAAAGAATCTCTTTTTAATGTGGAACATTAGACTTAAGCATAAGATAACCAATTCGTCTTAGTTAATGAGAACGACCCACAATCCGAATTAAATCACGAAGCGTTTGGCTTAGCGTTACGTTCGTTTTCTTTCTCGGAATCTGTACAACATTAGTACCGCACGCACACATACACTCACCAACGGCACATTTTCGCTCCGTCTGAAAATAAAAATGACTAATTGAAACTGGAAATAAATAAGAACACATAGCGCCTACAAGGGTAAATGCTCATGTGTAAATGAAAACAAGGAAAAAAGTGACAGGATTCTTTTTCATCCAGACTACGCTGAATATCCTAACACGAAAATGTTCTCTATCCTTTACGCACTGCTATTAATATACGAAACTGATGGCATTTTGAATGGTTCTTCCATGAAAATTTTTTTAACTCTTATTCCACTTTAAAATGGTAATACCTGAGGTATTAGAATAATGACGCGGCCTTCTATATACCAGTGCGATCACCAATCACCCGTCAACGGGACTAATCTGGGGAGCACAAGATAGCATTGAAGCCAATTATGCTGTGGCGCTTGTTAAAATCACAACGGTAACTCGTAGGTGGTGAATGCGTTAACCCCCGGAAAGGGTAATAGCGAATTCGTTCCCCATCGCTGATACCTAGGGGCTGGAGTTTTGCAAATACCCCAGCTTCATTGCGGTTTTATTTCACACAATACGCTGCCGTGAAAAATCGTAACAGGAAGTAAATAAATTCTTTTCAGAGATTTTCCTGACCTAGATTACACTGGAAAACGGAAAGAAATAAAAAATCTAAAAATCATATGCGCATTCAGTTTCCGAGTCGTACATTAGAGTGGGAAAAGACGTATATTCGACAAGGTGGGAACGGAATAGGGCGTTGTTGTTCTTTCTACTAAATACGTGGTGACCTTGAAACCCTCAATCCACTTGCTTCCTCTTGTTCATCGCTTATGCTAAGTCGTACTGACTTCAGATATATACAGCTGTAGCATCAGACAATATTCAGTTCAGCGGAAATGTAGAAACACAAAAGAATTTAACTATAACGATGCTGAGATTTCGGCAAAACTGCGGACCGCAGTCTGCGGTGGGAATCGAACTAGGTACTACCCTTTCCGGGAGCTAACGCGTTCACCACCACACCATGCGGGCCCTTCGTTTCCCCTGTCTTTCAGCTAGTCTTTCTATCGATCAGTGCCATCAGCAATCACCTGTGATTGATCTGGGGAGCCCACATTGGCATTGAACCCAGTTAAGCTGAAGCTGTAGTTGAAATCACATTGTTGACTTTTCATTTATAGAAAAATTGCAGCAGGCGGGAAATAAAAAAAAAGAATTCATTTTTTAAAATATCATCTTCATGAGATCCAATTGAAGGCAAATATTTCTAAGGAGATTGACGGAAATTGTCAGTATTCGTTATGCGTAGTATTCAAATACTTAGTTTTACACGAACGATATCAGCAGTAAAGAAAAATAGTGTAACTGCCTACTATCAATTTTCACTGGCATGACATTCCATCCCATTTTCTTATGACATTCTCAAAGGTGGTTACAAAAAGTTTTGTACAGCAGAAATCTACTGACCGTAAACCATTCCAAAGCATGGTGTGGATGAGATGCGTGGTGACATTTACGACAAAACCAGATCATCTCCATCATTACTCTATTACTGGAAAAGAATATTTAAGAACAGCATGCAACATACAACGACAAACAATTACAATTGTTTAAGAAAAAAAAAAGCTGTAGGCGTTGATCAATCCCTGAAGTATGCACCATGCATTCGACTTCAGTAAGCATCGTTGGAGATGAATGAATACACATCTGGCCTTTACAATACTCGCGGTGGACTACCGATGTATCGAGCCAGTTCTGCTATTCTCCTACTCTGGTACCAATCAGCACAACCTGGAGTGATGGATGCCTTGGTGAGCCTTGGGTGCAATCCAATGTGTATTGTAAGGCGCCTCCCCTCCTACAGTGGTACACACGCCCCAATAAACACCAGTGCGCTACACCAAATACATAATTAGTAAAAAAAAATCCTCACATATTTTCTATAATATCCTACAAAGTTACTTAGCATATCTGTCTACAAACGCGTTCAAAGAGTAATACCACAGGTGAATTAACGATTTTTGAACCTTATCTACCGCCCATTTTTTCGTGGCAGGATATCATGTAAAATACAACCAAAATAATGGTGAGATATGAGGAAAACTGGGAACCTCTGGTGTGCACCGAATTCGTGATTATGATTTTAGAGGCTTCACCTGTTATCCATTGTACCAATCGAGGCCCCCAAAAAAATGTTAAGGTGAAAAAGGCGGTAAATTAGAGTTAAACATTGTGATTTGGATTACAACTTCAGCTTAGGTGGATTTAATGCCAATTTGTGCTCCTCACGTCATTCCGTTGGTGGAGTGATTGCTGATGGCTCATCGTTAGAGCAAAAAATCGGCTGGGAAAAGGGCAAAGAAAGGGTCTCAATCGGTGCAGTAGGTAACATGTGAGCCCCCGGTGAGGGTAACCGCGGGTTCGAAACGTAACTGAGGCTCCGAGTTTCCCCCATATCTCACTATTGTGGTTGCAATACCACAGATGGTTAAGTATTAAACCACCTCAGGAAAATAAGTCCATGAAAATGCGCTTACCAAACTGCGCAAGATACGCCACAAACAGTATTGCATTTCATGCAGCGACATTTCAAAGTCTGCCCACCGCATCCGCGATGCGAAAGTCGAAAATGCGTGCCCTTAAGGAAAATGTATAGATCATAAGCATACCTAGTACAAATGCGTATAGTATACTCACAACAGATATGATGGTGAAGAGTATATTTCATTTATCATAAGACCATCGATCACCACAATCCAAAGCCACGAAATTAGTTCAAAAAAGTGGATTCAACTTATCAAAAATTATAACTCAACAAATTGGCTCCCACCCACATTTCAACAGTGAAAGAATGTTATATACTTGAACGTTATTAAGAATGATGAACAATAAGAAGTAGCGCAGTGCTATAGAACACTTGGAGACCTGGATAACTCGTCTTCACCCATAATGCAGGCAACAGCACGTTTTATCCTCGTTCCCTTCCTGTGTGGTCGTCGACGATGATGACGGTCTGTTTTGAATATGGTGACGTCCGTGAGGCCTATTCCGTAATCCTGAAATCACCTCCCGCATGCGAATTCAGGTAATTGCCATTAGCGACCAACACGTCCGTCCATTGTACGGGTGGTCGTTTTAGAGCAAATCTGCATTCTCTTGCAGGCCATCCCACTGTTTTTTCTTCGTCCATTTCCCACCTGTTCTTCTTATTGTATGATCAACCTGCTCATCCGTGCTTTACATTCTCTTGGATCTCGAAGATGGGATAGGTTGCGAAGATTTCAGCTGCACCTGGCAAGACGCTGTGTGTACCAGTTAAATTTCAAAAAACATTGTTGAAGCACTCTGTGGATGGCGCGCAATATTCCTGACGTGGTTGAAGTATAAGCACATGTTTCTGCTGAATGAAATAAGCCCTTCTCGTTTCTCTGCCTCGTTCCTCCTTCCTGTTGTTCTCCAATAATCATTGATCGCCCAAGCTATACATACAAGGTGGTCTTTTCAATCAGAGAACTATCCAGTTCAATTTGTTCGCTTTTGCACCATGGATTTTTCATGAATCGAAATCCTTCATCCTATTTATGCACAGGCTAATCTCATTCTCCACTTTGTTGAGTTAATGAAGCACCGTCTCTGCTTCACTGGCAATTCTTGAAAAGGTAAAGGTGACATTAGTGCTACAAAATACCAACTGTTAAACATCGTTACTAGTTGTAATTACTAATCTAGGAGGACGAGTGTTTATCCAACTACCAGAAATTTTGCAACACCATTACCAGGCTACACATTATGCGGATCTCAGTATTTCTTTACTTTATTGCATTGCATATATCACTCAAGGTCTCCGGATATGTGTGTGCAGTCGGTTGACGCTCGAAAATTTGGTTATCCTTGTTAGTGTCTTTGAATGCTGGTGGCGTTGATACTCTGGGATTTTCGGATACCGCTACTAGAGTGACCATGCTTTCACTGCAGACAGTTATCAGCGTTTATGGACCGGAGAAAGATTTTTCAAACAGACCTGGTACAAATCTGTTAACTTTTCAGAGATTGGAGGCGTAGCTGGTTGTAACTCGAAACTACCATCAAGCTTGTACTACCGAACAGTTTTTCTGACCATAAACAACAAAGCAAATAGTACACAGTTATTCACTGGTTGGTCACCATAAAGCTTTGTATCATTCAAATAGACATTTACTGCTTACGGGACTCAAAAAGCACGAAGTGTTGAGCAAAATAAAATATATACAGTTTTATCAAAATCAGGATTGAAAACTCAAACTCAGTGACAGCGGTAACGATATGAACGACATACGACTTTAGACGTAATCAATTCATTCGTACAAAAAATTATTTAAAATGAAAAAGAAAACAACCTCCCACCTCCAGCGATCTCTGATTCAATCGCTTAATCCAGGAGTATTTCTTTACACCAGCAACAGCAGTATGTAAATCCAACTGATCTAACATCGCTGAAGAGCAAAAACGTTAAATTAAGGACACTGTAAAAAATATGCAGTGCAACACTTTCTTAACCCTTATGCAACAAAGTGATCTCTACAAAAGTCATACTTTACGACAATGGTGCCCACTTCCAAATTTCAGCGCTTAGTAAGTTTTATTAACTCATGTAATATAAGCATAATAAGGCTGAGATAATGTTAATTTTTTATTTACTACTTACTAAAATTCTTCACGGCAGGGTGTTGTGTGTGAGACAACAACAACGGCGCTAAGGTATTTGCAAAATTCCGGATCACAGGTGTCTACGGTTGGGATCGAACACGCTGTTACCCTTTCTGGGGGCTAACACATTTACAGCCTACGAAATAACATTTTGATTTCGATTACAGCCTCAGCTTATCGGGATTCGTTGCCGATTTTTGGTCCCTAGATCAATCCCGTTAATGGGTGAATGGTGATGACGCCCATCGATAGAATTAGCTGAGAGACAGACGAGACGAAGGATTCGCATGGTGTGGTGGTGAACGCGTAAGCCCCCGGAAAGGGTAATAGCGCGTCCGTTCCCTACCGCATACACCTGCAGTCTGAAGTTTTGCAAATATCTCAGCACCGTCATGGTTGACGCTGCGATATTTCCAAAACTTCGGACCGCTGGACGAACACACTATTATCCTTTCTAGGGGCTCATTTAATACCATGCTATTAAAAAAGAATAAGTAGTAAATAAAAAAGTGATAACATTGTGATTTATCTCAACTCTTTTATTTACTGCCTTTTTCTTCTTAATGGCAGGTTATGTTGCGAAATATAACTCGCATGAAATGCTGAGATATTTGCAAAACTCTGGACCACGGGTGTATGCAATGGAGAACGAACACGCGCTGTTGTCCTTACCGGGGAGCAGCGCACTTCACCACTACACCATCCGGGTCTGTGATTGTGATTTATGCCACAGCTTCACCTTAACTGGGTTCAATGCCGATTTGTGCTCCCGCATATCAATGCCATTGACGAGTAATTGCTGATAGCACCTACAGGTAAACAACACGGCTGTGAGAAAGGCTAAATGGAGGACTCGCATGGTGCGATGGTTAACGCCTCAGCCCTCGGAAAGTGTAACAGCGTGTTCCATTCCCAGCGCAGACTCCAGCGGTCCAGAGTTTTGCAAATATCTCAGCACCATTATGGTTATATTTCACATAATATCATGCTACTAAAAAGGAATAGGCATCCAGGATCGACTTGCTCTTAACCTCGGCACTGGAATATGAATGTGTCGTTTTCTTGTCATTTACTTCCATAAAAAACACAATACAATACAACGCTAGCTGACGTTTCGGCAGTATCGCCTTCTTCAGAGCCAGGAAGGGTATACTGATATACAATCTACTAGACCAAACGCTTCAATAACACTTACAAAAAGACGAAAGACTTTGGTAATTACATGATCAACAACTCGAAAAAACCCACCGCTTTTTCGTGACTTTTCCAATGGGGAAGTTTAGAACAGCTGATTATAGTCGCATGTGGTTGACGACTGCACCATCCCACATCAAAAATCGATGCGAACGTACGGGGTCAGGTCGTGTATGACCTCCGGGCATTCATCCCTGCTATTCATTGTAGGGTTTTTGGCATTGATCCAAAAAGCCTCAAGGAGTTTTCGCGCTGGTGTTTTAGACTCCTGTGCAAGGATATTGACTTTTACTTCAAAATCAGTAAGTAAAAGTCAAGAATAGGCAGTAAATAAAAAATGACGGCATTAAAATAATAGAGTCTACAGAACTTTGCCTACAAGGTAGAAGTTCTCTTCTTTTACCACGATGAACTCCTTACGTTCTGGAATCCATAACAGGCATGTCTTGCAGTTTATTGGTTCGAGGCTTAAACTTTGAACACGAAAACAAATGAACAAGAATGATTTCGCCCTCCATAACATGACGGTGTTTCCTCATGTACCGTCTTAGCTTCTAGATTCAGCTGTTCCATTGAAAACTATAGGAACTTAAATTCCGTCATCGATCTTTTTTTGAATACTTTACTTCCAAACACATTTAAATTTGAAAGCACACTTTAAAGAAACCATATATGGGATTAATGTGATGGAATAAAGTCTCTTCTATAAATCTATACAGTTCTAAACTCCTGAAATGCTCTAGTAATCAAGAAATTATCTTCAATTATCGAAATACCAGTTTTGCAGCGAAAGAGTTAAATTTATTAGCTCTCCATGTTCTTTTAATAAATTTTAATTATCTTTAGCGGTTTTGTAATTATGGCCCGAATACTCTGTACTTTGACACATTTGTGATCACACGAGTTATATAAGTCTCATTCCCTTCTCGGCTGTCCATTTTGTCGCAGTTTTCAAGGATCTTTGTGATATATATGGTCAAATAAAAGCTAAGATAATTTAGAAAAGCCGTTTTTTGCACAGTTGTTGGCAGCTCTGCGCCTAGCTGCGGTACTCACATCCTTCCCTACTAGAGTTTACGCATGGTTGTTGAGTGCCTGCAAACAATTTTAACCACCTCTAAGATTTTAGAGGCTTCTCCGTACAGTTTTATCCAATGCCGCTGCACCGGAATCTCTTCTAGGAACAGCAAGCGAATGTGCTATTTCTTAGTGTTCACAGCGACTAATACTGATTGGTAGTTTACCAAGTTTTCCTACATTAAAAGACGAGCCTGATGGATTTTGCTAGAGATGGGGTGAAGTAGGGTGGGTATGAACTCCTACCTATCTCTCATGTAATTCTCCCTACCGTGGCTGCAGGATTCTGGCCAAGGCGATGTGCAGGAAATAATCCACTAATGTGCAAACACCTATAGTAACTACTGCCTAAACAGTTCCTATTTCTATGTTACCTTATGTCTTCTACAATAACTGTTTTACTTGTAATCGTCATACATCTATTCTTGCATATTCTGTAAATTGTCTCTCAACGGCATGCAGTTGCTTTGCAGGTGGCTGGAAAGGGAATCGGCAGCAGCCAGCTGAATGTACTTTCCAGCATCTGCCATCCCAAAGAAGTTTCCGAACAAGCATCTGCGCCCTTTCACATGTAACCCTATCAGATTGTTCTTGTAGAAAAACCTTTAGACCCTCTCTCTAGGCGTTGTCTTTAATTTCCTCTGGCAAAGCTCCTCCCACTACAGAAGTAATACAGGCAGCCCATCGGCATTCGTCCTCAAGTGTTCGCAGCGTTCGTGTGGTGTTCATCCAATTCCTCAGTTCCTCAGCGCTCCATCTCTAGTGTCCTCTTAGCTTCCTTCAAGTGTATCACTTGTTCTCATTTCAACCTCGCTCGTATCCACCCATCTTACATATCGTCAGATATCACATTATTATTGTATCGTCGTTATTGCTATAAACTGTTATAACACAAACACGAGGTTGTTCACGGCATTTACGGAAAAAGTCCCGCGTGGCAAATTCATATAAAGTCGAGCATTCAACGTACAGCTGGCGGACAAAAAACAAATCCGACCAACTACCTAATCCACTGACAAACTAGCACAACACCCACATGCGACGGTGCATAAGTCTGCATACATACATAGGATTATGTTAAAACTGAACAGCGGAATACGAGTCTATCGAATCCACTTTCGCTTCAAACCCAGTACAAGGTCGCCTTTGACCCGTTTATGAGTCGCTCGCTATCAGCTGTGGATGCAGTACGCAGGCTCACGTTCAACGACGCCTTTCCATACAGTATTGGAAACGTTACTTATCCTATCCCATATCCATGCATCATTCGTGGCGAAATGAGGCGAAATTAAACCGCACGAGGAACATATGAATATCGACGTATTTCCCTCAACTGCATATTCTATTGCAAGTCTTGTTGGTTAGTTTGACAGGTCAACCGATCTCGCACAAGCTATTTCCCTCTCAGTGGGTTTCATTCCCTGCGAAATAACGATGAGCCTAAAACATTTAAAATGGTTCTTTTCGAAACAATGGACCGATTAGGATTTTTTCAAAGGCTGGACTGCTTCTACAACAGTCTTTCAACTGCGATACTTTCTAAGAGTTTCCACCTAAAGACTTAAATCGAGAAATGTTCTCATCTGTTCAAAAGTAGATTCGTTTTCGATTAAAACTCACAAAAACGATGTTCATGAAGAACGGATTGGTTCCGTATGCCTCATTCACGCTCAACGGAACGAATATCTCCGAATGCTCCAGTTATGTCTATCTAGGTCGGGAAATCAACATGTTGAACAATATATCTCCAGAGTTGAGCAAAAGAAAACGAGCGGCTTGGGGAGCTTTCAAGAGCATCGAAGAAGTAGTAAGGAGAACAAAGAACACCTAGATGGCAAATGAAAACTAAGACGAAGTACCCCACTAGGCACGCATAGGATACAAAAGCATAGCGGAGACGATTTTCATGTAAAAGTCAATATCCTTGCACAGGAGACTAAAACATCAGCGCGAAAACTTCTTGAGGCTTTTTGGATAAATGGCGAAAACCCTACAATGAATAGCAGGAATGAATGCCCGGAGGTTATACGCGATCTGACCCCGTATGGTTGCATCAATTTCTGATGTGGATAGTGCAGTCATCAATCATATGCGACTATAATCAGCTGTTCTAATCTTCCTCATTGGAAGTCACGTAAAAAGCGGTCAGTTTTTCGAGAAGTTGTGGATCATGTAATTACCGAAGAGTTTTTCGTCTCTTTGTAAGTGGTATTGAAGTGGTTGGCCTAGTAGATTGTATATCAGTATACCCTTCCAGGCTCTGAAGAAGACGATACTGCCGAAACGTTAGCTAGTGTTTATTGTATTGTGTTTCTCAATGAAGTAAATGCATGCTGTTTAAAATCTTCGCGATTGCTGAACAAGCAAACGATAAAAAATAACTTTAAAAAATTCCGAAATTCACACAATATCTGTTATAAACAGACTCAAGAGCTGATTGTATCATGGCTCGACGTTTCTTATTTTTTCTTTCACCACAAACAAAAACTGAAAATGTTGTTTAAAAAAAAGAGGATAAAGGGAGGGGAAGACACGAGGACTAACATCTGTGCTTGAAAATTATATGAAAAGACCGAAGTGTAGTGTGAAAAATGTACAAAATTGGAAAGTAATTGTGATGGGGTGCCAAGGTGCCAATGAGTACAGAAAAGGCATCGTATTGACCAACAAAACAAGCAGCGGAAAAAAGATGATTCAGGACCGTGGCGGCACAGATGTGTTAAAGTTTTTTCTATGTTGAGCATGTAATTCTTCCAAAATAAAGGAAATAAACTGACCATATTCTTATGAAGTGGGCAGTGATTGTTGATCGATTGATATTAATTATTGGTCAACCTTACCACGTACCAATATAACTTTCTTTCCATGATTCAACAGTGAAGTCATCCATAACATTAGACAGACGACGTCCACATACGAGTGACACGGTTGCACACGTTTGCATATCGCCCTGAAAACACTCTTTCATAAGCGAAATATTGGTTTGTAAACATAAAATTGAAACAGATATTAGATTTAGTCGAAATGCCTGAAGGTTCTGTTAAACACAGACCTGGTCAGCATGATAGCGAAGTAACCGCACCACTTCTTGCATGGGATCCCAGTTCATTCGCGCAATGTGCTCCTTCTCTATGTGGCCTGATTGGATAAACATATTGTTCGTAGTCGAACCATATATAACACATAAGTTTAAAATTTGCACTTTATAAAGCCTAAATAATTGAATATTCAAAAAAGTTCAAACCGTCGTCATCAGAAGAGACAGACATGAATGTCAACTTCGTCAAGTCCGGTTTAAGTGCAAAAGCCTCGTCTTTAAGGCCAGTAAAGTCATTGTAATGCGGATTTTCACTGTAATAGTAGAGAATTCAAGAAGATAAAACTCTATAAATGGGTGAACAAAGAAGACAACATTCTAAATACAAACACTTCAGAAAACTCCAGAGATCTTAAGGTTACGTTGTTCTCCAGTACATATGTATTTAACAGCCAGATACACTATACGTGTTCTCCTTTTCTTGTAGCTAAGCGGCAGATTTCTACACTTAAAACTCACATGCCCTTCTCAACGGCCGTTTTTGTTAGCTCTCCTGCACCAAAATAGAAGTCACCTGAAGCGATATTGCTGGCGACGAAATCCGAATACCGTAAAGAATTGCTGGGCCATAGGTGAGCTAAACGTGTGTTTAGATTAAAGACATTCGTCAGCTTGAGAAAAAAGTGAAGAAAACAATAATTATGATTGGAAACAATTGACTAAAAAAACCACTAATTCTTATTTTCATGCAAAAAAAAGGAAAGATTATCGAACGAGAAAATCCTACGGCATACGTACTACTATATTGATACGTCCTACGTAGTCGTTGTCAGTACTACTATATATTGCTTCACATAGCAACGTTAAAAGTAATATTGGCGTCAACCTAACCAGATAGCTGTACGGACCCATGAAGACTTATGCATACGGTGTATAAGGCATAATAAGGATAAAGGATAAAGCTCTGGCAGTCGATCAATCTCTGAGGATGCCCCATACATTCTACTTCATTAAGCATCGTCAGAGGTGATTGAATGCACATCTGGCATTTAAAATGACATGCGGTGGCCTAGCGATGTATAGAGCCAGTGCTATCCTCCCAGAGAAGACTGGTACCAATCTGCTGACACCTGAGGGATGGAGGACCTAGTGGGCCATAGCTGCGAGGACCGATTCCATGTATACTGCAGAGTACCTCTGACCACTGCGCTATATGCGCGGTGTATAAGGTATATGCCTCAAAATAATGTTAAACGCAATTTCACCATGCAGAGACCCCTAATACCCTCACCTCCCTTAGTTCCAGACTTATGAACCTTCTTTTTTTTTACATAAAATATGGACTGCACATAGCACATTTTCCATTTCGCCACGTTGACGTTTGCGCTGATCTCAAAGAAAAGTAGGTGGCCAAGATTTCTATAACAAAAATTGTGTAAATATATCACTGCTTTCCATCACTGTATTGCAGAAATATCTATATTGCTCAAAAATACTTCCAGACCAGAATTGAAACCAACCAACCTCCTTTTTTCAATCGATACAGATTTGAACAATGCGATACAAATCTAGTAAGATAGGTTGGCCGTACAATTAGACTTCGAGGAGGTTCAGGAACTTTTTTACCGTGTAGTTCCATCTCTTTCTTATATCTGCAACATTGTCGTAAATCGGCAAATACAAAATCCCCTAAATGAACTAATTTAAGAATAGGAATTAGAACTGATAGGAAATTGCAATCGACTTACATCCCGTATTTCTTTTCATAGGCTGCAGTAGCTTCAGCAGCATCATGATCATAAACCTAAACGGCGATCTGGTGAAGTCTGGTACGCCAAAATAATAAGAAAAAGCTTCTGAATACCAAGACAGACTTTTTTTTAAAGAAACAATTTTCACTGAGAACGCCTTTTTGGCATTAATTAGAATTTCAGCCCATATTGTTCACCGACTTCTATCGTTTCATACACCGGTAACAATTCTGTTTGAGAAGATTAAAATTTATCTGTCGGCCGGTTCATCACCACAAGTTATTGCACAAAGAAAATCTTTACTAGTGCATTTATAACACCATATACCGTTAATAAACACCATATGATGTTAACTTTTTATTTAATGCCTATTAAATAATCTTTCACAGCAGGTTATTATGTGAATTACAACCTCACTGATGGTGAGATACTCGCAAAACTTGGACTCAGGACCAGATCGAACTACGATAACCCTTTCGGGTGTGCTCTGCGTTACTCTTCTCTAGTTTTCTGCCTACCAGTGCCATCAGCAAACACCCGTCAACAGGATTGATCTGGGTAGCACAAATTGGCACTGAACCCAGTTAAGCTCAGGTTGCAGCCCTTTTCATTGACGGGTGATTGCTGATGGCACTGGTAAACAGAGAACTAAGAGACATGCGAAACGAAAGACTCGCATGGTGTGGTGGTGAACGAGTGAGTCCCCTGGTGATAGCGTGTTCGCTCCCAACCGCAAACACCTGAGGACTGGAGGTTTTCAAACATCTCAGCATCATTGCAGTTGTAATTAAACATCGTTCGTACTTTTTGTAGTCCACTCTGCTCCAGCAGTGCACCCACCAACCGCCAACTTTGTGCAACACTAGCTTGACCTAACTGAGCCGCTAAATTAGCATTATGATTGCACAACGTACGAAGTGGTCGGCCACCTGCCAGATACCTGAAAATGGCCAGATAAAAATCACCGGGAGAATTAGAGGATTTTAAGACCACAAAGAACGAAATCAGTATTTTCTTCTCGAGCACATATGAGGTTGTCAGTAACGAGATTTACTCAATAATGGCTGAGTTTTTGGCAGTTTCACCTTCTTCAGAGCCTGGAATGAGCTGTTTACTAAACCAATGAAAACTTACGTAATAAATTCTATCTGCGGTGGTTGTGAAAGTGTTTGGCCGAGTAGACAGCGTGTCCATTTGTCTTTTCTGACTCTAAAGTCGAAACCGCCGAAATGTCAGCCATTATCGAATAAAATGTGTCTGTTAAAGAAGAAAACACTGACTTATTGAAAAGTGCCGAAGTTAATGGAAAGTCGCTCCTGGGAAGCGACTATGTATTTTCAAAGTAGAGAATAAAAATTACTATCGAATATGGGGTAGAAATAGAGATCTAAAGCATTGCAAAAGAAAACCACCTCTCAGCAAGTTTATAGAACGAAGACGGTTGTAGGGTGTTCCTTGCGTTTTCCGGTAATCCACAGGAAAGCAGACTTCGTACAGGTGTTCGAAACGGGTCGTAAGGATGCCGCTGTATATAAACCAGGAATTAAAAAACCATACGAAATTAAGTCAATTGTGTACACCTTCCGTATGCATTTAATTATATTCATACGTAGGTATGTAACAACACTGATGTATGTATGGCCCGATTTGTGGACAATAGCCACGTCAATACTTCAAAAGAATGCAATAAAATGGAAATGCCTCAAGGAGTAATGAAAAAGTGGCTAATACAAAAAATACGATCGATTCCCTTCGTGACATGTACTTATACTGTTGAGTTTACACGAGGCAGATAAACAAATTTATTCGGCTAAACTTTCGACGCTTTCGCCTTGTTAAGGTGTTCTTTGCACTTCCCGGTAATCCACAAGAAAGTAGACTTCGCCCAGGTGTTTGTCTTAGTAAGGTGTACATTACGCCTTCCGGTGATCCACAAAAAAGCAAATATAGGTGTTCGGAAGACGAACAACTGTGTACCATCGACTCGGATCATCGGATGTGTTGAAGACGAAGATATCGAAACGTTCGTCGAATCAATCTGTTTATCAACGTCGCGTAAGCTCAACAATTTAAGCACATGTTAGTTATTTTGCTGCTGAGGTTAAATGACGATTGGTTTGAAAAACGTTTTCCTGTTCTCTTTTAAAAAGGGATGAACACAGCGCTCTTACCTTCATAGCGAAAAATTGTTCCTGGTGTTTAATGATGGGAATATGTGAGTTCGCTGTAAGGAATAATATTATCGAATAACATCATTCAAGAGTTTCACTTTCAAATCTTCCAATAATATTACCTGCTACTGCTACTAGCCCGTCCGGAGCTATATCAAGCGCAACGTCGCAAGCATACGTCAACGGAGATTGTTTTTGTTCCATTCTATGAAGAACCAATAAACCGTCTTTTCCACAAGACACGATGCGATCGGGATGCCGTAGACTCCACCATATATCTGTAAAACGAACAAAACTGTAAATGGTCGCACTATACGCGAATAACCCTAGCAAGGGAATAAAGAAGTTTAACGTCACATAGCGATAACTGCTCATGATTTTAGTCGTCACGGTTTCTTTGCAAAATTTTTATTTTAGGCAAACCTTTGCACAGAACGAGATGACCTTCAATGAGATACTAACTGAATACTAATAACTCATCAACAATAATCCTGCAATGGTTAGGTGACCAAGTTATGCATCTTTAGACAAAGAGACAGGGGACAAAGACCATGATTTGAGTTTCATGAGAATGCTACGCTTGATGAGCCACAGAAATTTATCAATTTCAAGTGATAGAAGACCTTAGATCGTTCTTATAGGAAGGCTTCTGTCAACTCTACATAATTTTTGCAAGACTCAGAACCACGGGTGACTATGGTGGGGAACGAACGCACTATTGCCCTTTCCGGGGAGTAACGCGTTCACCACCACACCATACGGGTCCTTCGTTTCGCCTTTCTTTCAGCTAGTTCTATCGATCAGCGCCATCAGCAATCACCCGTCAACGGAATTGATCTGGAGAGCCTACATCGGCTTTGAACCCAGTTAAACGTTAGTCCCCGGAAAGGACAATAGCGCGTTCGTTCGCCACCATAGACACTTGCGGACCTGAGTTTTACAAATATCTTAGCAACGTCCTGGTAGTATTTCGCTTACTGCCCTGCCGTGAAAATTGTAGTAGGCAGAAAATAAAAGTTAAAGGTAAAACCACCTAATTTTGTTGAGTTAGCTCATCAAACTCCATATGTAGGTAGTACTAATGTATACTTAAATGCAGTAAAACGCTCAGCTTATGAAGAAGCCTGAATTCCACTTCACTGAGTTATTTTGGACTAATTCACACCGCCTAGTTTTGCCGTCTGAATGAGACTACAAAGCACTACCTTCGTGAACAGCGTACAGTTCCTTCTTAATAAATCGAATTCCTAGGCCTCCAATGTGTAAGTTAAAATAACTGAAGCTTATTTTATTTAAAGTGGCATATCCCAACCCGGAATGAAACTTATTGATTGAAACAGAAACCATTCGAATTTATATATTTTTGCCAATGAGAAGCAATTTGATTTACACCTGTTGCCAACAAATCCTGGACATTAAATGGCGTCGGCATCAGCTTGGTTTCTAGAGCATTTCTTACACAGGAAGCCGTTGATATGATTATAGACGGGGTAGTCCGTAGGCGACAAGTCTGGCAAGTATCGTGGATAAGACAGTTTCGTAGCCTACCTCGTTCAACTTCGGCAGTACCGGTAAGTACAACGTGTCATTGTGCGCAATCGTGGAAAAAGACTGGTCACATCCTATTTACCAATGAGGACACGGCCATTGAAGTTTCTAGTGGATTTCTTCGACTTGCTGGAATACTTCTTCACTACGATCGTTTGACCCGGATTCAGAAAGCTGTGATGATATATCACAGCAGCTGTGCATACGAAATAAATGTTCAACGTTGTCTTCGTTTGATGGAATTTTGGCTTTGGAAAGTGTCGCAGATACTCATACCGGTCCAACAACCGAGCCCATCGTCGCTTATCGTTATGTTCGGTCCAATTCTTGTCGCACATCAGAAAATGTTAGAGTAACGGGTTGTCCTCGTTACAGATGAAAAACGCCTTCGATACCTGCAAACAACGGCTTTTCCGATTGTCATTCATATTGTGCAGCATTCATTCGCGTGTCTTCAAAATATCCGAGAACAGCTGAGATAATTATACCGAGTCCTAGTGCAAGTTCCCGAACAGCTGTGCGTGCAAACCTCTTGCGGCGAAATATTGAATTCAGCGTCGTGAATAGCACAAGGATGTCCGCTACCTTCCTTATTTCGAAGGTCGAATTTGAAATGACAAAACTTCTCGAATAACGACGCACCGTACGTTCGCTAATACTGCCTTGTCCCCACACCTCTTTAATTTTTCGAGCTGTTTGTGCTCCGTGCGTCTGAGTTTAGAATTACAATGGATTTGCCAAAACATGAGATCTCAAATTCTCATCTCTAAGATTTGTCAACAGCCTAATTTACCTTAAAACTCAAATAAACGGAACGAAAGAGCATGAAACGAGCTCTGCGACGATAAAATAGCATAACACTTAAGAAAAAAATGTAGTTAGAAGATACAAGAGAAAAATGAAACTAAAAATCCGACAACAATTTCTGAAAGACCTAGTTCGCAAGCTGTCCATCATAGTTGTTAATACCGATGACTGCACTAGTGTTATTTCAAGAACGATTACCCTTCAACCATCGACTTCTCGAATATTATTGAGAAGCACCTGGGTGCGCCACAGAAAACTAAAATGGACGGTGACTAGCTAGTCTAATAACACTGATGTGGTGAAAGACACCACTGATTAACTTGAACATGCAGATCTGCTTCTTGAACCTCGGTGATGCATATAAGAGAATGAGGTATCCGAAGGCTGAAATGCAATACCGGTAACACTGTCGCTGTGGTTCTCGAAGCTCGCAAACGGTAAGAACGGACGTCTGATATCCCATATGTGCACATTCATATCGTTGACAACTAAAACGAGCGTTAAAAACTTGAAAATACCTTTGCAGGTAAACATGTACACAAAGCATAAGTAAAAACAAAAGCCACCCCGTACCGAACTCACCAAGCTTCTCACCTCTCCGGAATTAAAATTGAAAAAAGCTAAAAGTATGAATAATAGTACTTAAAAAACAGTTTTCGACTTTAACTGACTTTCTGCCGATCTATTTACCTCATTGAGTCTCCACAAATTTTTCGACGAAACAGAAAAGCCGGAACTTATACCCAGGGATAACAAGTTCTGAACAAAAGACAAAAAACCAGAATAGCCAACAGCCTTCCCTTTTGACCTTTGACTATAAAGAATAAGCCTACCAGCACAACTTGCAATGTGGAACACATTTGTCGGATCTGGACTCCAGTAGACGCGACCAACTGGTGCCATAGTTTCAACTTGATATGTAGGTGCAGATGGACGAGAACTTGAGCAATTCCAAACCTTGAAACATGCTGATAATAATCAACCTAAAATTTACAATTCTAGAAACCTAACCAGGCTGACAAATCCACCAAGAGCCAAAATTTCGGCACAACCACAACTTTAGAATAGAAGTGGTCATAATCAAATAAGGTAAATTACTTTAATAAATTTGTCTCTGCCACCTCCAGAAGCAATGAGATGCCGCTCTCTTGGGTTAAGAGCAATACTCGCTGCATAACCCTGGTGCGCCGGGAACTGTATCAAAGGTCTGAAAACATGATGCATGTCAAAAGAACCAATATAGTGTTAAAAAAAGAAACCCGACAAGCTTTTGTAATATCCTCGTAATAGTTGTACCCATTTCTGTCCGTTTTTCATTCTAAGTCCTTTCTTTCAATAACATTTAACTTTTAATTTCGACAGTGCTAGTGAATTTTCCAGATATTAGAATATACAACTTAGCAATAATAGAATGCAAAAGCAATCGGTGCAGACCAATCCCTGAGGGATCCACGATGCACTTGACATCATCAACCATCGTTAGAGATGATTGGATTCATATCTTACTTAAACAATGATATGCGGTAGCCTACGAATGCTACGAGTCAGTGTTGCTATTCCCTCAGACAAATCTGGTACCAATTTTCCGACTTCGGAAGAATTGAAAACTTGATGAGCTCGGGGGTGCCAGATCGGGGCAATAACTGCTTCTTTACTACAGCGCACCTCTAACCACTCATTACAGCAATAGGTTCAGGAAACATGATGGGGAAATTTATTGCAGCAATCCGTATTCTGAACTTGTATGCAACTTTCAAGTGCTCGAACTGCATAGATTGAGCAGTGGTCTCCTAATAAGAAGTGCATAAAAATATAGGTGAAACAGCTGGTACTATAATTAAAAAACGATTAGTTAATCTACACACGATGGAGGTGATTGGATCCGTATCTGGCCTTTACAATGATTCGCCGTGGTCCATCGATGTGCGATGTGTCGAGTTAGTGCTGCTATCCTCACAGGTAAGTCTGGCACCAATTTGTCGACCTCGGAGAAACTGAAGGCCCGATGACCCTGGGGAGCAAGATCGAACCCGTGTTGCAAGGCGCCTCCAACCACTGCGCTACACGCGCCTTTTTTCATAGAACGAAAATCCTTATCTACTGAAAGTGTTTCCAAATCACCTAAACAACAAGACAAACATTTCAAACTGACAGAAGTATTTCAGAAGGAAAAATAGTATGTAATATATAAATTCGAACTGAATCACTCTTAAACCGCCATCACTGCGTATTAAAATACCATAGTTGTAAACAATTGGTGTAAAGAAAAAGAAAATTTCAAAAAAGCACCAAAATTTTTGGTTGGCTTTGGTTCCAGTAAAGAAGTCAAAAAGCAAAATAATTCACTTGTCCCCTTTTCTCGTATCCCAAAGTCGTATCGTACCACTGTCATCGGATGTTACGAACTGATCATGTTGTTCCCGGTGGATGCAAAAGGATAAGTCTCGGATAACATCGTATGAATTAGTACCTCTGCAATCATTGACCTCAAACACATTAAAAGTATTACTTCATAAAACATCAACCAGAAAAAAAGTCAATTCCTTCCCTGTACAATAACTTGGGGTGGTCCACCAATATATCAATCCACTGCTTTATCCTTCCAGAAAAGTCTAGTCGCAATTTGCAGAACCCGGAGGGACTTGAACGGCTTGGTGGGTCGGTGGCACGGAATTAACCAATGATCACGAGTATATTGCAAAGTACCTCTATCCAATGAGCTGTACGCTTGACAAGTTCAGTAAAAAAGAAGGATAAAGCTCTCCGCTTTGATCAATCCCTGAGGTATGCGCCACGCATTAGACTTCATTAAGCACCGTTAGAGCTGATTGAATGCATATCTGGCCTTTACAATAACTCTCGCTAGTTTAGTGAGTGCTGCTATCCTCCCAGATAACACTCGTACCAATTTGCCGACCCTGTAGTGAAGGAAGGCTTCGTAGGTCCGTGGCACAACGTCGAACCAATGGCCATGCGTGTATTCCAGGGTATCTCTAACCAATGAACTACACGCTTGATAAGACTAAAACACCGGTAAGAAAAAATGCATTGAACAATAACGTAAAGATCTTACCCAAATTTCTTTACTGGCTCTTGTTCGCGAAGATCGTAGAGAAACACAGCAGCATCCCTCGATCCACTAATTAGTAGGTTTTCGTTTGACAAATGAAAATGGACTACGGTGGCGGATCGCTGATGTGCCTTATAGTGCATCTCTGTCAAAAAAATATACTCAGTTCACTGTTATTTTTATAACCGAGCAAGGAAAGAAGGAAGGAGAAAGAACATGAAAAAGAAGTGAGAGAGTGCATCCGGAACGGAACGAATGAGTGCCACGTTCTGCTCCTCCTCACGATTCCATAAAGAGAAAGATCTATGGACAAATCTCTTATCTTATAACGCACCAATTCTTCCCTTAAGGACATTCCACAGGACGACAGCTCCATTATTCGACGTTGTGGCAATCAATTCATCTGAAGAACATTCATGAGGACCACCACAAACAACACCATGGACATTCAGAAGAAACGATAGTGTGGAAATGCAAAGTTATGTTCAACCCTATTAAAATTTATAGAAAAGTGGAATAGACAACCTTCAATGGCAGAGTATTATGTGAAATATAACCACAACGATGCTGAGATATTTGAAAAACTCTGGGCCGCCGGTGTCTCTGCTGAAGACCGAACACGCTATTACTCTTTTCAGGTGCTACTGCGTTCACCACCACACCATGCGAGTTCTTCGTTCCGATTTTCTCTCAGTCGTATTATTCATCAATGTGCTATCAGCAATAACCTTTCCACGGGATAGACATCGTACCTTTAAGTTTGCTCCATGCGACATTACTCGGAGAATATAGCAAATTAAGACGGCGACTTCGGATAGACCTAAGATCTACGAGTTGTCGAAAACCATCTTCAGCAAACTGGAACACCCTCAACACTGAAAACGAAAACAATGAACTATGGAACTCCTTAATCATGCTGATATAAAACAGTTCGAGCATTGCTCAACTTCTTATTTACTGTTTATTACCACTTTCTTTGCAGCGAATGATGTAAAACACAACCACTATGAGGCTGAGATATTTGCAAAAATTAGACCCCAGTTCAGAAGCAGACGACTAACACCTTTCGGGTGTCAAGTGTTACCCAATGCACCGCTGAGGCCCCTTTTTTTTGCTTTCTTCTCAGCCAGTTTTCTACTTAACGGTGCCATTAGCAATCAACCCTAAACGGGAGTGATATGGGAAGCACAAATCGGTACTATACCCAGCTAGACTAAAACCGAAAACAAAAAGGCTAAACATTGTTACTTCGACTACAGCCTCAGCTTAATGCCGAATTGTGCTCCCCAGATCAATACCGTTGACGCGTGGTCGCTGATAACACCATTAGGTAGAAAAATGGCTGAGAGAAAGGGAAAGCAAAGGTCTCAGTGGAGTAGAGGGTACCACATGAGCCCTTAGAAAGGGTAGTCGCGGCTTCGAATTTGGCCTAGGGTCCGAGTCTTGCAAATATCTCGGCATCATAGTGGTTATAATTTAAGCTCTTCAGGGGCATGAGCACCACAGAATCAGAAGGCAGAAGTCTGACTCGTAAAAATATCTGCACAGAAACCAAGTACGAATAAGAAGAATACAGACACCTTGGAACCACTCACTAAACTCTAGGACCATTTCTAAAAACCCACTTTCATTTAACCTTCGCATAAACAGACGATCCTCCCAACAGTCTACCGCCTCAACATGGAAGCTGTTCTTGGGGGGTGTCAGCCTGCAATGTATAACGGGGGATTCACCCATCCCCACAGCGGGGCCTCCCAAGTTGGGAAGGAGTCCGGCGTTTCCATCAAGAAGCCTACCTAAGAGTAAACCAATACCAGGATCCACTACCGTCCTGGTATGACTAGTAAGTAGCATGGTGGTAAATCTCCCTCTGACCTACAAAGGCGGCGAATGCCTGTGGTGGTGAGGACCTGAGGCAGACTTTGGCCAGACTGTCCTCGGGACTCCAGGGAACCACAGTGGCTAAACTAGCAAAACTCCGAAAAAATGGAAATTGTGCTGGGACCCGCACAGCCAGTAAAGACGGACCATCCAGGTATCCAAGTATATGCAACCGATACTCTACGACTGTTATTTAAACAATATTTAAATGTCGCACCTCCACGACATCCAGCGACGACAAGTCTTGTTTCCTCCCGATTAGCACTGATCGCATCGACCGGATCGCAAATGTCGACAATACTCTTGCTAGACGATGGCGAAGCTACTATGAGATCATCGTCAAGATCATAATCTTGCAGATACATCTCATTGCTCCTTTTGCGAACATTAGGCAGTTCTATAGGAGGGATTTCAGCCATAGCATAAAGAACCGGCAGTACTCTCCGGTTGTCTAATAGTACTGCAACGCGAAATGAAGCATTCCATACTGGATGGAAATATCGATAGAGCAGCATTTCACTTCAGAGCATGGAATTATTCAGCTCTGGGTTTACACCTACTTTCGTTAACCAGTACTGAGGTTTTTGTGGGACTTTTCTCGACCTTTCAATGTAGGTCTTTGTTTCGGTTCATAGTTATGAATTTTTCGAATTTCTATGGCAGTTACATGGAGATTACCTTACTACACATTCATATCAATTCATGCCGAAATCTCGGTTAGATTGAAGTGTTTACTCGTACGTATTTATACTTTCTTCAGTTCAATATGATTTCATGCCTACGTAATTGAAACCCAGTCTTCCTAGCCGTGACTTGAAAAGGTTCCTGAAACTTCATTTCCTGGATTTATTGTCAGGATTTCATAGAGTAGGACAGGATGGCAATGTCTGTGGATGTTTACAATTCTCATCTTCTCGTTAGCAATTTTAAAACAAGAAACTGAAGCCCAGTTCTTCGTCGGCTTGAAGCTTGAATTTTGAACAGATTTGAGATCAAAGGAACATTTCCAAAAAATTATCTATTAGCGAAAAATTAAGAATGCTAGAAAGTCAGTTAAAGTAAGTTAGAAAGGTTAGTAAAAGTCATCAGAAAAGTCGTTTACTTAAAGCATTTGGGCGAAACTTCTATAACCCTGTGAGGTTCAGAGCTCCTTAATCACTCTACTTATCGAAGGATCACCTGAGTTTACCAAGAAAGGAAGCGTGTGATGCAATGCTCCGAGGCGTCCTGCAACACACATCAGATCGATCCCCGAGCCCCTGGCACACCAAGCCTTCAAACCATCCAGGGCTAGTATATCGGTACCAGACCCGTTTTGGAGGAAGTAACACTGGCTCGATACATCGGTAGGCCACCGCGAATCATTGTAAAGGCTAGATATGCATTCATCACTTCCAACGATGTTTGATGAAATCGAATGTATGGTGCATCTCTCAGGGATTGATCAACGCCGAAAGCTTGATCCCTTATCCTTTATTGTCAAGAAGTCATCATTGAACGTTAGGCCTAAGTTATGACCTTATTATGCCAACTACGTAAACAGTTCAAGTAAGAGGCGTAACTGGTAACCAACCAAATGAAATGGCAGAGAAGATTAAACAGCTCCTTTATCGCTCTTACTTATGAAACACAGCAGTATTCCAAGGAAGGTAGTCCAGATGTACCAGATATCACAGAGACCCTAAATTACCACAGTAAGAACTTCTATCTAGGGCAAAGTACCACACTTCTTACTTCTAGTGTTTGAAATTCGCCCTCTAGGAAAGCTAGGTGGTTCTCGAACACTAAGATTCCTAATGGCTTTGTGGTTTTCTTTTATGTATTTGTGTTATTTTGGGCTCGTGTAGCGCGGTGGTCGGAGGCGCCTTGCAATACACATGGAATCGATCCCCGCACCCATGGCTCACCAAGCCTTCCATCCCTCCGGGGTAGGCAAATTGATATCAGACTTGCAGCACTTGCTTAATACATCGGTAGGCCACCGCAAGTCATTGTAAAGGCCAGATATGAATTCAGTCGCCTCCGACGATGCTGAATGAAGTCGAATGCATGGCGCATCCCTGATGGGTTGACCAACGCGGAGAGCTTTATCCTTTATGCTTTTACTGTGTTACTTGGTAGTGGATTTAAAGTCTCTTAGAAGAAATTGGTTCCATATTTGCCTTTGAGAATAAGGACAAGTACTTACCAAGTCGGTTGACCACTACGGGCCATTGTTTAGGTCAAATATGCATTTAGTGATTTCTATACTTAAAGGAGAATCTCCTCAAATCCATGGCACAGCCATCAACGGGTGGGTTAGTTCGGACGTTTTAAGTTTTCCAGGATCGACTTTCTGTTAACCTCGACGTTGTGTCTTTTTTTCAGAAATGATGAGGTTGTTCCACAGGACACGTTTACTTTCTCAGAATAAACCCGAAACCCCGAAATGTCAGCCAATATATTGAATAAACCTTCCTATTAACAGCCTTAAGCTTTCTATTTACTTCCGACTCTTTTTAATGGCACGGTATGTTGCGAAATATAACCTCTATAGGTATTTTCAAAACTCCGGACCGCAGGTGTCTGCGGTGAGGAACGAACGCGCTATTGTCCTTTCCGGGGAGTAACGCGTTCACCACCACACTATGCGGGTCCTTCGTTTCGCCTGTTTCTCAGCTAATTTTATCAATCACTTGCCATAAGCAATCACCCTTCCTATTAACACTCTCTCAACAAATGACACCTATAGGGATCATACTGGGTTTGCAGGATTGGCGGCTGTAGCACTCACATAGGTCTTTATTACAACCACAACGATGCTGAGGTCTTCGCAAAACTTGGACCCCGGGTCAGAACAAACCATGATTTCCCTTTCCGGGAGCTTGCGCATTACACGGTGCATCAGGAGACCCTTACTCTGCGTTTCTCTCAACTGGTTTCGTATCGATCAATGCCATTAGCAATCACCCGTCGGTGGGATTGATCTGAGGGATACAAATCAGCATTGAACCCATTTGAGCTGAGGATGCACTGGAAATCACAATGATAACCTTCTATTTTCTGGCTTGTATAATTTTTCACGTGATTGCTGATGATAGCGTTAGGTAGAAATAACTAGCTGAGAAAACGCAGAGCAAGGGTCTCCATGGTGCGGTGTGTAATGCGCGCGCTGACCCCCCGAAAGGGAAGTCGTGGTTCGATCTGGCCCGGTGTCCAAGTTTTGCGAATATCTCAGCATCTTGTGGTTGTAATCCACATCATGCCCTGCCGTAAAAACTTATGGTAGGTAGAAAGTAAAACGCTAACTTAGATCTCTATGTTCTTATTGAGAAAACATGAGGTGTTACCTTATTCTTTGTTAAGGTACAGTTGACGTTTCGACAGTTTCACCTTCTTTAGAGTTTGGAAAGGTATGTTGATAGGCAATTTACTAGGCTTGATATTTCAACAACGTAAACAGAAAGGTAAAAATATGAATGGGAATCACAAGCTCAGCAGCTTCTCGAAAGACTCAACGTTTTTTAAAAGTTCATGCTTACCGTCCAGTGATAATTTTCTGATAACTGCCGATAATTCTTAGGTAACTAGCTGAATCACAATATCAACAGCTTCACAGCTAGTTATCGAAAAATCATCGTTGGACATTAAGCGTGAAGTTTTAGGAAACGGTGAGTTTTTCGAGAAGCGGTTAATCCTGTGATTCCCAATCAGATTCTATCTTCTGTTTGTGCTGTTGAAGTTTTGGCCTAGTAAATTACATATCGATATACCCTTGCAGGCTTTGAAGAAGGCGATACTGCTGAAATCTCAGCTATATCTTAGCAAAGAATAAGGTAACACTTCGCGTTTGCTCAACAATGACATAGTGACCTATGTTAGTGTCATACTTGCCAGTCCCGCAGAACCATAATGAACCTTATAGGTGTCATTCGTCGCGGAACTGTTAATAACAAGGTTTATTCAATACAGTGGCTGGCGTTTCGGTGTTTCGGGTTCGTGTTGTGTGGAAATCAGTGTGTCCTATATGACAGCATTGCGATTGCTGAAGAAGAAAACGAAACACTTATACACTGCAGTGCCGAGGTTGCATATTCCGGAGTGGTCGGAGGGTTCCTGCAATACACATGGGATCGATCCCCGCTGCCCAAACTCACCATTTCTCCGGGGTCGGTAGATTGGTAGCAGACCTCTCTGGGAGGATAGCAGCACTGGCTCGATAGGCCATTGCGACTCATTGTGAAGGCCAGATATGCATTCAGTTAACTCCAACAGTGCTTCGTGAAATTGATTGCGCGGCGCACTCAGGGATTGATCAACGCCGAGAGCTTTATCCTTTATAATGCCGAGGTTACTAGAAACTCGATCATGAGAGCCGAGTGATTTCTTGACACTATGATTGCTAATGGTTTTATGGTTTTCTGTCATGTATTTTGTTACTTGGAGATGTTTTTGAAGCCGTACTTTGCTTTCAGTTTCCGTATTGTCGGTGTATGACAATAGAAGATCGTTGGGTTGACGAAGCTACAACTGCCTTCATCTCCTCGGACATCACTTACTACGTGCTTTTGATTCCCTGCTTAATTCCTGTACTTATTACATTCCACTTCTTTATTTGGTTAGGTGGGTGTGCTACTATTTTTCTTTTAAATTTAAACACTAAGTGTTGAGATGATCTCCTACTCCAGGACACGAATTCTTTGTGAACAATTGAGATGGCAAATGTGAACGCTATCCCTGGGTATCTTACCGTTTCATTCCCGAACTTGCCAAGTGAAATCAAGGATTATATCTCTTGTACGGATTTTTTCAACGTCTTCTAGTTGATTCAGCATTTATTGTTACTTCGGTTGCAGCTGTTCTAAAGGAAAACGTCGACGAAATCTTAACTCTTGATGACGTCATTGCTGCTGTTGGAGACCATCTTCAGGTACCCACTTTGCTTTTGTTCTTTCTCTCAGGACGGATGATTTAGATTTTGACTTTTTCATTCTGGAGCTTGTTATAGAGTTACGTCAAAGAGCTATGTAGCGACGGGTTGAATCGGACTTGCTTGCAATTACTACGACTTCTTCACGGAGAGTAAGTACTACTTAGTCTTTAGTTTCTCATAGCTATACATTGTCGAATACTAAAAAGAACAGGTTCTTGGGAGAAGAAAATAATTCTAGAGTTATTTTTGGGTAGAATAATGAGTCCTCCCAACGGTTTACCGCTTCATCGTGGCTGGGAGGTGGTCTTGGATGTCGGACTGCGATGTACGGTGGGGTGATTCGTTTCCCCGGAAAGGTCTTCCAAACTGAGAAAGAGTATGGCGTTTCCATCAGGAAGCTAGCTAAAAGTAAACCAATACCAGAGTCCGCCACCGTCCTGGTATGAAAATCGCATAGTGGCAAATCCCATCTGATCCACAAGGGCGGCGACTGCCTGTGGTGGTGACGGCCTGCGATAGTTTTGCTTGGCTGACCTCGGAACTCCAGGGAACCATAATGGCTAGGTCAGTAAAACTTCAGTGCCAGTTATGCATGCTACTTTGGTTTTGTTTTCAAGGACCATAGAAAGTTGTGCTAAACCTACATGATTGCAATTGTAGCCTGTAGTAATATTGAATATCTATTATGATGTATATAGAACGTCATATTTACACTAAGAATTCACGTTTTCATGAACCTTCCAAAAGTCGAAGAGCATGGAGTGACAACAAAGAAATTAGAACAAGCTGTAGATATGGCCGCGGAACGTCACAATTTTGCTGAAATGGAAAGCATTTGGAAGCTACAAACGAGGGATGCTCCTACGGTTGCGTTTTCCTGTGCTTTTCTATTCTGGTATTTTTACAGAAATTGAATCAATTGTGGTAATCTAATCACTTTTCATTTCCTGTTCTTTTTTCATGGGAGGGTATGATGTGAAATAGAACAACGATGGTGCTGAGATATTTGCAAAACTGCGGACCGCTAGTGTCTGCTGTGGGGACCGAACACGGTATTACTCTTTACAGGGCTAACGAGTTCACCACCATACCATGCGGGTCCTTTCATTCGCTTTTTAATGCTAATTTGTGCTCCGCTGATCAATTCCGTTGACGAGCGATTGTTGATAGCACCTAAAACACCGCTGAGAGAAAGGCGAAACGAAAGACCTGCAAGGCATGGTGGTGAACGCGTGAGCCCCCGGAAAGAGTAATAGCATGTTCGATCCCCACCGCAGACACTTGCCGTCTGGATTTCTGCAAATATCTCAGAATCGTTGTGGCTATCAATCGTGATAGATTGTTTTGATTTCTGCAATGAGTTCCTTTAGTCAGTCGACAAAAAGAAGTTAGGAAAAGCTGAAAATCGTGCGGCTCAGAAAGCTGAACAGCGTGGAGCAGAACCTGTTGTACGGAAAAAGAGACCGGAATCTACAGCAACTGCATCTCAGGTATTTAACCGTTTTCTACGGATCATCTTCGATGAATCGCTTTTTAGCTAACGTCTGATATTATTTTACAGGCTCCAATAAGGGATCCAGGAGTTCGTGGCGCAAATGTGAAGGACGTGAAGCTGGAAAGCATTGATATCTCGATAGGTACAAAGTGAGTTGTTGCGTGTTAGCACATATTTTCAAACTTTGATCAAATTATTTAGATTTGCTTACTTGGATGCTCCGTCATCACTGGTTGTGCGGGCCCCAGCATAATTTCCATTTCTTCGGAGTTTTGCTGGTTTAGTCATTGTGGTTCCCTTGAATTCCGAGGTCTGCCTTGCCAAAGTCTGCTCTATGTCGTCACCACCACACGCATTCCCCGCCTTTGTGGATCAAAGAGATTTGCCACCATGTTTGACTGGTTTGATATGAGGACGGTGGTGGACCCTGGTACTGGTTTACTGCCTAGTTGGCCTTTCCGATAGAAGCACCGGATTCCTCAGCTTGGGAGATCTTGCCGTGGGATGAATCCCCCGCTGTACATCGCAACCCGGCACCCAGGAACACCTCCCAGCCACAGTGAAGCGGTAATTCATTGGGAAGATTGTTTACATTTAGCATAATTAATACGTTTTGCAAGACTAGCATTTTATTGTTCCCTTAAGGCAACTATTATCGTCCGCTGATTTGACTATGGCATATGGTCGCCGTTATGGTCTCGTTGGAAGAAATGGAATAGGGAAAACGACGCTTCTAAAGATGATTTCTAGGTTGTTTTCGAAATGCCTTTTCTGTGGTTTACGACCATTTTCGGAGTTCATTTCAGTGAACAGCTGCGTATTCCATCAGGCATCAGTTTGCTTGCTGTAGAACAAGAAGTTGAAGGAGACGATGTTCGAGTGATAGATGCTGTTCTAGCTTCTGACAAGCGACGTCAAGCAATGATCGAGGAGGAGAAGGTTTTGCAGACTAGGCTAAATAAGTGAGATCTGAAGTTTTATTCTGTATTTTACTCTTTGTGAACAGATTTGCAGCCTCGTGTGGACAGATGAATACAACATAATAGTGCATATAATTGTCTGAACAGCGCTATGTGCACATAACCTACTTCAGGGCCTTTCTGTCTTAATTTTTTTTCTGAGTGTTATAGGGAGAATTTGACTGAAGCAGAGAAAAGCAAGTGGAACGAGGAGCTGTCAAAGCTATACGTTGCGATGGAGAACTTTCAGCTGGATAAGGTTGTCTTATGTTACAAATGACTTTGTTTTTTTTTAAAATGTGGTGGATAAAGGCTTTCTGTAGGCACCAGCTCGAGCCGCTTCTATATTATACGGTCTGGGATTTACGCCTGATGAACAGAAGAAACCAACGAAGTTAGTTTGCTTTCCTAGTTATAGAAATTTTCCTTAGATTTGTTCCCCCTCCATATAATGGGAAGGTTCTATTTTATCTCTAATAAAGTGGTGTCGAGTAGGTCTGATTCACAAATACCTTCTTGCCTTTCGTTGATTGTTGACTGATTTATTGATACGAATTCGGATGTAAAAATCCAATTTGTTTAATTGCTTACCTATCTGGTATACGAGCCTCTACTGGAATATCAAGAGAAGAAAATATCTTTCGCATATAAAATTTTTAGTTTTTTCACTGTGGAATAAGAAAAGCTGCATATTGCCGGCAAACCGCCTACACAATATTTGTTTTCTTTCATTTCACCTAGCAAAACTTACCGTAATCTGAGGTATTTTTTTTCAAATTAATATGTTGCTCTGTTTTTGGGTAAGTGCAAATGAATTTGTGCATTTCTGACGATGCTATGGAATTTCCACATTCGCTCACAAAATTTTGAGGTTCTAAGCACTCCAGCCTCCTGAAGATATTTTTAGCTGTAGTTTTATTTTTCAAAGTCTTTCACTATGTAGTTGTCCAAGTGTCTAAAAAGTAGGTGTCTCGATAAAACTCTAACTGGCTTTTTCCGGATTCGAAATGGTGTGGCGAGTTATTACATTAACCAATAATTAGTGCCGTTTATGATTTAACGACACAGTGCCATAAAGATCCATTAGTATGACTGAACCAATGATAAATATGAAAGGTACGGGGCGGATAGCACGTTGGTTGTGTTGGACGGCCATCACGAGCACGGTGCTGGTTTGATCTCGTCCCAGACTCACCAAGACTATCATTCCTCCGAGGTCGGGAAATTGGTACCGACTTCGCCGGGAAAAAGCACTTTCTGCAATCCAGTTGGAAACGCTCTAACCAGGCTGTCTCAGCGGTCCAGGCAGAGTCTACGCGACCAGCATTCTACGACATGAAGTGGAAATCCTCAAGTAGTAGCCGAATCCACGCGTGGAGATTGGAAGACCTTCGTGGATGATAGATGCGAGGAAAAGAATCGAATTTGAGAAGTGCTGGGATCCGCACCGTGAAGATGGGTCGTATAAAAATAGAAGTACTGTAAAGATATTGTGAATTCTTTGTAGCAAAAACGTGACTTCGGGAAACGCCTCAGTGCCTTATCTTTGTGGAACTTTGCATAGTTGTATTAAATGCAGAGTTTGTCGCGAGTCACAATGCAGTAAATATAATTGTTGTTAAATAGACAGATAGAAAACTAGCTGAGAGGCAGGCGAAATGAATGATCCGCATAGTGTCGGGGTGAGCGCGTTAGACCCCGAAAATGGTCTTAGCGCGTTCGTTTCCCACTGCAGGCGCCTGTGACCCGGAGTTTTGCAAATATCTCAGCATCAGAATAGTTTCTGTTTTGAAAAAAAAAGAAGCGGTGGACAAGTTTACTTATCACGATCTGTTTGGTTTTGTTTCAATTTACCTGGAAACAATTGCTTTACTTGTACGTAGCTCTCGCCCATAAACTTAGGCCCTTGTCTTTGCTTTGCTTCATTTCTTCTCTTCATATAGTCATCACCAATGGGGACAAGTGCATACTTACTGTTATCTCCAAAGTTCTCATCTTCACGATCCATTTACTGGGTCCATTTAACGCGCATTGGGCTTTGACATTTTAATGCAGTAGCTGACATTCACATACACATGAGTAAGGAAACATACTGCTTGAAAGGCGAGGAACTTTTTGTAAAAACAGAGTCTGCAAAACGTTTAAAAGTACAAAACCGGAATTTAACGACGAGAATGTTGAGGTATAAATAGTACTTGAGCGCCCGGTAAGGGTAATCGCCAACTCGAAGCCCAACTGATGTTCCGAGTTTTGCTCATATCTCAGCATCCTTGTGGTTGTACTTCACATCGTACTCTCCATGAAAAACCAATAGAGAGTAATTAGAAAGCTAAAGTCGATATAAATTTCTGCACGTTTCATTGAATATTCTAGAAGTTTGAATATGATTGCTGGTATAATTCAGGAGAAAGCTGAAGTTTTCGGTATTTTCAGAGAGTTTTCTGGCGGTTGGCGGATGCGCGTCGCCCTTGCCCGTGCTCTTTTCATCAAACCGGACCTACTTCTTTTGGATGAACCCACCAATATGTTAGATATGAGAGCAGTTTATTGGTTGGAAGGTCATCTTCAGGTTTGTTAACTTTTGATTTATTCGCCCCAATGATTAAGGTTCTGAACTCATGTTTAGCAATGGGAAGGCACCATCTTAACTGTTTCTCATGATCGGAAGTTCCTTAACGAAATTTGTACGGATATTATACATTTGCATACAAGGCGACTTGACCATTACAGAGGGAACTACGATACCTTTGAGAAGGTAAGTACTTGAGTTTCATTTTCATGTGCTTCGAATGTTTTTAATATTCTGGGATGATTCTAAAAATTGCTTTTCATCTTTCCTTCTATATTCTGTTAACTTTTCAATACATGCTTGGTGGCGTAAGGCATTTATGAGTCATGTGTGCTAAAAAACCTTTTTCTTCAGAAAACGTCTTTCAGCTTGGAAGTGAAATTTCTCAGCTCATAATTTTCTCAGCTCGGCTCAGCTCAGATGTTTCATAATTGAAATGTAGATCTTTAGAACCTTCAGTTCTTTGCCGACAAAACCCATCTTTTCTTGCTAAAATCTTGCTCTTTGGGGCTCATAAAACGTATTTTTTCATTCTTTTGCTTTGACGAGAATTTATTGAGCAACGGGGTTTACTCCAGAAAGAGAGGGTTCTCGCATAGTGTCGTTACTATTTTCGTCTTCGTTTGCTACTCCTGCTTCAACTTTTTTTTAGAATTAACATTTAGAACACAACATGAGTTGATTTCCACCAACCTGATGCGAAAGCATCGATCGCTCGATACTTTAAGCCTACATATCTCAGCCCAATATGATTTTCATTAATTGAAATAAGATATATTCACCTTTCATCTATATCACCTGTTGTCTCACTGATCGTCGAGTGACTTGAGCCGGCGCCAGTAAATCTTCCATTTCTTTCTGTCGCGTGCAAGAGTGGCTCGATCGGTTCTGCATTCTCTAGGTGCTCGTAGAGCATCATATCTTTCTTCTAAGGTTTTCGTGAAGAGCTCTGACCGTCATTTGGTGATTTTTCTCCATTACGTTTCCCAGCTTCTGCAGCTTCGACCACAACTGCTGTTCTGCTCTCTTTAAGACCTTTTTTCCATATCCATCCTCATTTACTTTGTATGAGGGAAGGGAGATGTGGCTGTTGAATAGATCTGAGTAATAGCCGTGATTGACTTTCTCTATTGCCTTCCTGGATGTCACAACTATTCCATCTGGGCGTTGGGGTGCAATTATCTTGGTTTCGTAATTGGCGAAGTTTGGTGAGTTTTGCGAAAGCTTTTCGCAGCCTCTGCAACTTCAGTCGTAGCTGCTGTTGTTCTCTCTTTAAGATCTTCTTTTGTCGCCTAGCTACATTATTTTGCAAGTTCGGACGTGAGTTGGCCGTTGCCTGCAGAGCTAAAACGATTCCGCAATGGAGTATCAACTCGAGAAGATCTTGTATGAGCCGATCGTATTCCTCGTCGATGTTATCAATAACACTATCTTCGCAAGAACCGACTAATAAACTGAGTAGATCCCAGTTCATGGTGGTCTTCAAACTTCGTTTTTCTTTATTCAGCGGGTTTTTCTCCTCTATGCGAGAGGTAAAATGCTACACGAAGGTCTTGGTCTGACCTCGTTAGAATTTTGGGACAACAGCGACATAAGTTAGGCAAAACCTTCTAGATGCTATGATGTGGTCCATTTCGCCTCTTCGTTTTGAGAACCGCATATCCAGCCCTGAGAGTGGGAAAAATGTGGAATTGCGAGTTACCAGGAATGGTCTAGATCGTCGTGATAAACCCAGACAGCCGCTCACCCTGCTCGTTCCATTCTCATCCGTGGATCTCAAATTGAAGTTCTTCATATTTCCTTCTTGGTCCAATCTTAGCTTTAAAATCTTCTATGATGACCTCAAAGAATGCACGGTCATCTCTGTAGAACTTTTCCAAGTCCATATGGAACTCTTCGACTTCGTCTTCGTCATACTTGGTGTCGGCGCGTAAACCATGAAAATTGTCTAAGCCAGCATTGACTCGCATGTCTTCAACTGCAAACGTTCGTTTCGGGTTGAATGAATCGATGTTGATGGCTGAAGCCGTGTTGATATGAACACCGATGCCCCCAACTCTTCTACCGTGGTCTGTTCCGAGGAACAGTTCGCCGATGTTACAGACGATGTTGAATAGGTTGTGTTTTCTCGTCTCAGCCACTCCGATGACGTCGTACCTTATCCTTTTTGCCTGCATGATCAAGTTTCCTATATAGGACTCGGAGTTGAATGCGCATTGTAGATGCAGATCGTCACCTTAATTCTTTGAGGTTTAGGTAGCCTCGAACGGTCCTGAAATTTTGGCGGCTTCTCCCTCTTGTCTTACCCAACGCTGTTGTATCTGGGGCTCTTCGAGGTCAAGGGAATCCATTTATTTTACCGTGTTCAGTGTTTGATGCCCACAATGGGGATGGGTATACTCATAGGTACCTTCAATCTTTCCCAGAGTGAACGGGAAACTTATTTGTTGGTAGGTACTCCTATTCGCCTTGCATGTACTTCTCTGTCACTTGATCGCAGGCTTTTGACCGAAGTGGCTGATAAAATACAATCTGCATAGACGAGAATACCCTCACGCATGTTTGCATGAGTATGTTCCCGCAAACACATGAGGCATGTGCCAAGGCGCACCAAAAACTGAGCCCATCCTCTGAATCCGTCTGCGTCTCAGGGAAGCATAGGTCACTTTTGTTCCTCGATTAACTCTCTATCCTCCCCTGGGTGGGTGCCACGTCGTCTCGTGACTAGGCGACGTGAGATCCCTCTGTGAGGTCCGTTTCATGTACAAAGCATCTTATTCTAAAAAGATGAAATAGTGGTCGTATTCTTATTTTAAAAACGAACGAAATTTAAGAAGCGTTATTTCGTGCATTAAAACACGATAACCTCACCAAAGCTGTCGCCGATGCGGGAATTGTTTGGGATTGTAAATTTCTAATTCTGAAAGTCGAAGTTCCACTTTTACTTCCTTCGGAGATTGTAATTTCAAACAGCTGTAAAAATTAAAAAGCAGGTTCAAAGAACCTTATTTGCTCTTATATAGGTAGAGCAAAGTCCATTTTGTAAGCCGACCGGTTTTCAACTGAACTATTATAGTTGTTCAAAAATTGTCAGCAGTTCGCGAAAACCAACCTTCGGACTGTTGGAGTGTTAAGATGACTTGTTCAGTATTTTGAAAATTATGGTTTTAAACGAATTTAAAAATAAAGTTTCACTTTAGGAAATAATTTATTTAATTGTGGCGACATATAAAAGCGTTTTAAAAAAGCATATCAAGTTATAAACTCCTCGAGTACAGTAGTTATTGAAAAATGTGCTGGAGGTGACGAAAAATGGGATCGTTCCATACGGCCTCCACACCGAGTTAGGTGTCTCAACCAATCTGTTCGCAATTATTTCAGACAATGAAGGAGAAACTTACTCAACAGCAGCGAGAATACGAAGCTCAGCAAACTCTACGCCAACACACGCAAGAGTTCATCGACAAGTTTCGATACAACGCGAAACGTGCCGCGATGGTGCAGAGTAGGATCAAGATGCTTGAGAAACTGTTCGTATTTTCAAAAAAGTTCTATTTAAAGTAGATTTTCACTTTGTCATACTTCAGCACCTCTTGTTTACTTGTTTTCCATGTTGTGAATCCTTGGTTAACCCGAAATGGTTCATGGTCAAAGGGTTCTGTTTGCTTTGGTTTCTGTAATCCTATTCATCAAGGGCGCGTGTGGCGCAGTGGTCAAAGGCGCTCTGCAACACGCGTGGAATCGATCCCCGCACCTACTGCCCACCAAGTCTTCCGTCCCTCTGGGGTCGGCAAATTGGTACCAGACTTGTCTAGGAGGATAGCAGCACCGGTTCGATACATCGGTAGGCCACTGCGGGTCATTGTAAAGGCCAGATATGCATTCAATCACCTCCAAACGATGCTTAATGAAGCTGAATGCTCGACGCATCCCTCAGGAATTGATCAGCGCCAAGAGCTTTATCCTTTTAGTCCTATTAATCATGGAGTAACCGGTAGAAGTAAATTCCACTTTTTCTCGTCGCGCACAAGAGCTTGATCTTGAGCACTGCTTAATCGAAACGAATGCATTGCACTTGTAATATTACGCTTTTTTAACACTGTTTTTGGAAAAGGATGTTATCACGTACTACTCCAAACTCGCCACTGCCATAGCGTAGGTGTACTTTTAGTTAAGAGTCAGGGTGAAAATGTCGAGCTTCTGAGCTGGGGTAGAAGGTGAGCTACCCATTATGCATGGCAGGTGAACATTCAGGAGCATTTCCTAGCTACGATGAGGCGATACTAGTATTAATGAGACTAAGCGACTTACAACGTGAGCTGCAAATTTTGTATGGTGAAAGTTATGGTTTATTTTCAGACCTGTGTTGCGAGCAGTTGAACTTGATTCGGATATAACGTTCAAGTTTGCTGAATGCGAAGTGCTGAACAATCCGGTTTTGCAGTTGGACGACATGTCCTTCAGGTTCTTTGTAGTTTGATATGTGATAGTCCGAATGGAGAAAAATTGGTAGTACAAGTGTTTTAAACCGTTTTGAGTTTGTTTAGATACAATGAAGACGCTCCATTTCTGTTCCGAAAGTTGAACCTTGGTACACACGCAAATTCTCGAATATGCATAGTATGGTTTTCATGCCAAGCATTCCTACTTTTTTAGTTTTTTTTTTGATCTCGGTCCATGCTATGCTATTCCTCCTTTCTTTTTGCTGGCTGTTTTAAATTATTTTCAGGTTGGTGAAAATGGATCAGGAAAGACAACACTTTTGAAATTGTTACTCGGTGAACTTAACCCAACGGTACGTTGTAAAATGTACCAGTAGTGGATAAACCAAAGCGATCAAATAAATTTTAGGTGGGTCTGCGTAATGTAAATCGACGTATAAGAATAGGTTATTTTACTCAACATCATGTTGATCAACTCGATATGGATATGACCGCTATTGAAGTCCTCGCCCATAACTATCCAGGTATGTGCACTGGAATTTTTGCGCTAAATTCATCAAGTTTCCTAGTACTACTTTGCAGACATTTTTCTTGATTTATTTGTCTTGTGATGAATTTGCCAAACACCGTGTTGACACATTCGCGATTCACCAACATTTCAGAGCGAGTTTTTTGGTGAAACAACGGACGTTGTGCGTTGATTTCCATTCATTTCTTTTCGGCTGCTTCTTTTGTCTCACAGTTTTTCAGAATACTTCTAGGAATTGGTTGAAATTGACAGTTTCACCACGACACATATTTTAGCACTGATCGTTTAAGAAAAGCTTTTTTCACTACATAATTTACAAAAAACCTTGTTATGAAAAATTTGTCCAATGATGGAAATAGTTTTCTCGCGAGATGTTAAGGCATTTCCCACCGTAAAGGCTATTGGTGGTAAGGATGTTACTGAAATATCTCCATCGTACTGCAAGGTTGATATTCCGAAGCAGTCATAGTTTATCTTAGGAATATGTATTCTTTCTTTGATGAGCTGACACGAGGTTGATAATGATATTTATTCATTTTCGGCTAACGTTTCGACGTCGTCGTCTTCGTCAGGGCCGATGATCCGAGTCGATGGTCCATGTTTGTTGTTCGTTTCGACGTTGCAGCTTCGCCTTCGTGTCGAGTCAGATCTTCCTCAGTGAGCCATCTTCTCGAATGAGGTATCCTCACTCAGTGATGCCCTTTTATACACGATGCTGATGGTGGATATAATGACAATGTCCAGTGGTAACAACTTGTATTTCTTCCGGACATACATCATTGCGCACATCGTGCAGAAGTCGGTGTTTTTAGCTGCAACGTCGAAACGAACAACATGCATGGACCATCGACTCGGATCATCGGCTCTGAGGAAGGCGAAGACGTCGAAACGTTAGCCAAAAATGAATAAATATCATTATCAACCTCGTGTCAGCTCATCAAAGAAAGAATACATATTGATTATTGATACCGAGGTTCAAGGAAAGTCGGTTTCGAAATATTATCTTAGGAATGTTATCCCTTCTAATAATTCGTCTTATTTCACGCGATCCGACTGGGCATTTTGCATGAATGCCCCCAGCATTTCTTTCATCCGAGTTTTTTTCCTGTCATCCATCATTCTCAACAGTCTTCGGAATTTGCGCGTGGGTTCGGCCATTGATCGACGAAATTTGGTCCTCTTGATGAATGTTTTTGAATGCTGGTCTAGTCGATTCTACCTAGATGGTTGTGGCAGGGTGTTTGTTTGTCTTCGTCATGAGCAGTCGCCAGATTTATAGATTATAACTAATCCCAGACAGGTCTCCTACCAATTTCATCACCGAAGCAAAGGAGTGCTCTTGACTCAGATCCGCGTCAAACAAGCACCATGAAATTGTTTTGCGGAGAAAACTGTTCACAGTAATTCCCAAGACACAGTTTCTATTAACATTGGCACTGATAAA